CATAGAGTCGCTGGGGGCTAGGGACAAGGAGTCACACTTTCACATAGCCTAAGTAAGGTACATTTGGACATAGCTGCTCCCTCTTAAAATATATACACACGCAACTGTAAACAGAGGGGATTTTAACTTGGTTTGAGAATCTCAGATGCCTTTGGCAATGCTGACACCTTTTGGCAATGGGGAGTGACTGTTGAATGGCTACAGAGTTTATGTGGAAAATGAAGGGTAGGTAGCAGTGATGGTCATACAGCATCCTGGATGTTTTTTTTTTTTTTAAAGATTTATTTATTTATGCATACAGAACTGGGGTACAGGCCAGAGGTGCAGGGGCGGCGAGAGGCTTCACCAGAGACAGAGTGGGGAGCAGAACAGGCAGATCAACGAAGTACACTGCTGAGGGGAGCAGCGGGCGGGTCAGGAGAGGTCTGCCACGCCATGTGGTCTCCTCCCGGGCAGGCGGGAATCGAACTCATGCGGAAGTGGCTTTAGCTTCTCAGTGCTGTGCTTTAACCCGCTGCGCCACCAGGGAGGGCCGCATCCTGGATGTTTTTAATGCCACTGAACCATATATATACACGTTGTTAAAATGATTAATATGATATATATTTTATCACAACCAAGAAAGTTCACTAAAAGGAGAAGTTCTTTGTTTAATTTTCCCTTGGGGATTTCAAGCTTATGGGAAAGGCAAGAAAGCATGACTTTCATCTCTACAGCTACACAATTCTTGCATGAGCTCATTATTCATTATGGCTTCAACTCAAGAATGAAAATCAGTGGAAAGGAAGCCTAGAGTCTAGGCCTGTTTCCCCCATTTCTCTTAGCAACTTGAAAGTTTCCCTTTACTGTCCAATTGATTTTATCAGAACGAATCCTATTTATTTGCAATTGGTTGATGGTATTGTCTTGAAGGAAAAAAAAGAATAAAAAATCATTCAAAAGTCTTTATTTTTCATGTTGCATTTATGTCATGGGTTGCATATTAGCAAAGTCAATCTGAGCAATACTTTTATTTCTAGCACACTTAACATTTTCTGAGCATTTTCTCAGATCTGACACCATTTGAGGCCACAGAAACAATGGACTTATACAGTGTTACTTATTAAACAACTGTTTTTCTTGCACCTCTGGTTCTGGATTCTCAGTGACATTTAAGGGAATACATTAAACCTTTATCTTAAACACTTCACTTTATATAACCCCTTTGTTCTATTGAACTGCACGGATAAATTTTGCAGTTTCATGCTGTACACATTCTTACAAGTTAGAAAGAAGCATAAAGTTCTTATCCTGAGCTCTCAGAACGTGAGGGTGGAGATAGAGAGGTTATGAGATGAGTAGGAACTGAGATAATCTATCTGAGCGATTAGACTTTTTGGCCATGTTTTTAATTTTGAAAATTTGATAGTTTTCATGTTCTGTCAAGTAGTTATTGCCAGAGACTGTTTTATACAGACAATTTTTATGGAGAGGAAACTATGAACTTGGAGGCTATTTCCTAATGAAAAATACCAGTATAGGTATGGTATATGTCTGGGATTTGCTTCAAAATAATCCAAGAAGGCCCTGCCTGGTGGCCTAGGGGTTAAGTCTCAGGGCTATCACACTACAGCCTGAGTTTGATCCCCAACCAGGGAGCTGACCCACATGGCACAGCGGACCCCTCCTTTCTCGCCAGCTGCTCCCCCAGCAGTGTGTTTCAGTAGATCCACCTGTCGTGCTCCCCACTCTGTCTCCAGTGGATCCTCTCATACCCCATGCCCATGGCCTGTACTCAGTTCTACGCAAACAGTTAAAAGGAAAAAAAAATGTTTTTAAATCCAAGAAGGGGAAATAGAAGGGTAAGTATAAATGAAACATGCTGGCCATAACAGATAATTATTAACATGGAGTATGGGGAACATCGATGGTTTGACTGCAATATTTTCATTGTTTGTGTAAGTTATCCAAAATAAAAAACTAAGAGAAAAGGGCAGAAATGGATTTTCAATTGAACTGGCCAATGATCTATTGTTTTTTAAGCCTGCTAAGTTAATTCAGTTAATGAAAGTATTTGAAAAGAAAACTTTTATTTGGCTCAAGGCACTAGTAAGATAATATCTTGAGCCTTTATTGTCCTTTCACATATGTTGAGTCACTCGCATATCTTAAGAAAGGTGCGTTTGAACATAGCTGCTCCCTCCGGAAATGTCTACACACACAAAACTGTAAACCCAAGGGATGTTCACTCAGTTTGGCTCTTTCCGACGTCTTTCGGCAGTGCAAACAGATACTAGGTGTCACAGCCATGAAGAGCACCCGGTGGGGGTGGGGGTCCTGCAAGTAGGGGCCACCATGGACTTGCCAGCTTCTGCCAGTTTCCTTCATCATGGTGATGGTGTGTCTGCTTGAGTCCTGAGTGCTCGCTGGCATTGCCATCCATGCCTGGAACAGAGCACGTGGCTGCAGGCGCCAAAGGCTGGCTACTCACCATGCTTCCTTTTGCAATACTGGTCCGGGCACATGGCTTGTAGGTAGGTAATGGGTCATAAAGGGTTCTGCCTGGAGCCCTCAATTGTTCCTTGCAGGGTATTGATAGAAAGGAACTCTGTTTCCTGCTTCCACTGGACACCTCTGGTGAGATCACTCCTTTCCCTAGGTGTAGCCTTCTCTCGCCTAGCTCCGCTCTCGGAATGGAAAACTAGGTTGCAGCCAGTTCCTCACAGGGAAGAATACGAGGAGAGGGCAGGAGGAAGAGAACGTTGGCCTCCTTGCTCAGCGCCCCTGGGGATCAGTGTGTGTTTTCTGTATCTTGCCCTTCTCTTAGGTAGATGGCAGGAAGAGATAAAGTTCATGTCATAAGTGACATGTGTCTTCTTGTCTCTCAGTGTCTCCTTTAGTGCCTTTACACCCCAGCCAAGGTCAAACTGAGGCCTGCCTTGGCAGAATCAGAGGAAGTCCTAACACACATAGGTTTGTGTGTTTCCCAGTCAGGCTCATGCTTTTATTGAGATAAAAGTCACGTACTTTTATCTCATTTAAAGTCATTGTAAAGGGTGTAGTTCAGAGCCACTTGGCACACTCACAGTGTTGTGCCAACCATCACTACAGTCTAGCTCCAAAATGGGTATGTCACCCCAAAAGAAAACCCCCAACCCATGAATGAGTTACTCCCCACTTCCCTCTCCCCAGCCACTGCTCTCACCAAACTGCTTTCTGTCTCTAGATTCCGCTTCTCTGAGCATTCCATACGAATGGGGTCCTACCATGTGGGACCTTGGTGCCTGCTTCTGAGCTTGAGGCTTTCAAGATTTATCACATCTTACCTGAGCAGAACTTTATTCCTTTTTATGGCCATTTAAAAAAATTATTTATTTATGCATACAGAACTGGGGTACAGGCCAGGGGTGGTGAGAAGATTTACCAGAGACAGAGTGGGGAGCAGAACAGGCAGATTGAATGTACATTGCTGAGGGAGCAGGGAGACAGGAGAGGTCTGCTGTGCCATGTTGGTCACCTCCCTGGCCGGGGATCAAACTTGTGCAGAAGTTCAACTCATGCAGGAGCAATACTGTTAGACCCTCCTCTTACAGGACAAGCATTGAAACATGTTTGGAAAGGACCAGTGAGCCTAGATCCAAGAAACAGGAAGACCGTTGGCCCTGCCTGAGGCAGTCACTTGACAATTCTCAGTACTTGAAATCAGGATCTATGTCTTCTGTCACCTGGGAAGCTTCTCAGGCCATTCCACTATACTCACTATGGTGAGACAGGCACCTTGGCCCTTAGAGACTGAGCCATGTCTGAGACGGCCGTGGCCCCTTCCAGCATGGGCCTTAGACACGGGGGCACACAACCCAGTCCTGGTCAAGTACTCAATCAGTGGTGAGCACCGCCACCCAGAACCGGAGGCCGCTGGGCTCACCAAAACAGGGCCTGGTCAAGGGAGGCTTCTAGAAAGCTGTGCTGGGTGTGATCTTTGAAGGGTGGGTAGGTCTGAACCAGGCACCAGAGGGAAAGCGGCCCAGGGAGGCTGGAGCATCTGCACAAGCCCGGAGACAAGAGGGAGCATCCGGGGTTGAAAGAACTAAGGTCCACGTGGCTGGAGGCAGAGAGGTTAGGGCCACGCACCGGGCAGCCCAGCCGAAGCAGTCACGGCTACGCCCACAGCTATGTGAAGGCGTCTGCAGTAAGCACACTGAATGCTGAACTCTGCAGTGTGAATGGATACTCGAGAGAAAAATTGGCTGTTTTTTTTTTTTTCTTTTCCTACCATGTTTGCTTCCTTGCTACAGGGATAAGAAAAGTGGATGAGGTGATATTGGGGTGGTGCAAGGGGATAAAAACACTTGGTTAATTTTAGCACGATGCCTTAGAAAATCCTCTTCTGAGAATTCTGCTGCCAGCCTGTGCAAAGTAGAGGGCACCAGTGAGCATGCCAAGTGAATCGACTTGTACATTCCTTCCGGTTTGGCCTCCATTTCCCCCACGTCCAAGGGACCGGGTGTTAAACCTAAAATTGGCAGAGTTACAGATTTTATTTAAGCTTAGATTTCAAAACTTCTCATGGGCATCTTGGCAGGAACTAGCACATTTTTTTTCTTCAATCATCCAGATGCAGATTAAATCTTTTAACCAGGCTGCCTAGAGGGGGTTTGTGCCTTTGGTTTCCTCTTACCTACACTAATACAGAGCTGGACTTCAGGGAATACATTTTTGTTTTAACTTTTAAGAAATTGTAAACAGTCTTTTCATTCTTATGGGTAAAAGGAACCATTTCTCTGCACCTCTGCTGTTTACCCACCTGCAGAGAAAGGCAAGGCAGTTAGTCATCCAGACTGTGCCAAGGAAGTGACCAGTGAACAAGAGTGAATAAACTATTGACTCTCATTTCCGCCCCCGCGTTCCCCCAGTGGGTCAGCCGTCTCAGCATTCTGAGTGTTGTCCTACCTACAGGTTTCCACATGATCTTAATCTCTGTCATTTTTTCTTTTCCTCTGTCTTTTTCCTTCCTCTAGGTTATTAGTTTCCTTCAAGTTATTTGGGAAGTGACTGAGATTTCAAGCTAAAATGTTGATGAATAGCCTGAGAGGCCTTCTTCAAATCTCTCCATGTAAATCTCTGTGGAGAAGATTCCAGATTCCGATGTCCATGCCAGTGAGGCCCTGCAGCCTCTACACGTGCACTTATAAAACCCGGAACCGAGCCTGTGAGTACACTGTGACCTTAAAGAGAGTGAATTGTTTCGTAGAAATCAGGTGTGTTCAATGTTTGTCGCTGATGACTATCAGTGGTGTATGGTGGTGTTACTGGCCTTAGCAATTCCGTGAATAGCCAAGTGTGTCTCTATTTGTTTTTTAAAATAAATGTGGGAAGTTCTTTTCTTGCCCAATTTTAACTTGTTGAAATGATGTTGGGCAGAAATGCACAAGGGACATGTCCAGTTTCATCCAGATATTTTGGAATCTGTTCCTTATTGTTTCTTGTTAGCAGCTGTCTTTTTGCTAAAGTTGTTCCACAAACAGAATCATTGCTATGAATCTTAACGTCCTATGAATGTTTGCAAGCAGGCCTGTGATTTCTGGAATATTGTTCCGGAGTTATAAATTTGCAGTTAATTTGAGTTGCTCAGTGTGTGCTGTGTTGTCACCACAGCAGATCAAGGAAGGTAGCAGATGGCATCCGAAACCTTTGGCATTTTAACCCACTCCTGAAATACAAGTTACCATCGCATCCCATCTTGACGGTGCAGATAGTCTCGAGCAGGGTTTGGCTGACATGGGGAAAGAGGGTGTGCTACCAGGCTGTAGCTGTAGTATGCACTGTCCCCCACCCACTAGATGCTAGTAGCTGTAACGCTTACAACACCAAAAATGTTTGCAGACATTACTGGATGATTTCTGGAGGACAGATTGCTCCTGCTTAAGAACCACTGAGGTATAGGGGAAGATAATATATGTATTTGTGGAGAGATGAGTTTGAATTTGTGGAAAGAGTGAATGGCTAAGTATATTTCTTTTAAAAAAAGATTTATTTATTTATGCATACTAGAACTTGGGTACAGGTCAGAGTTGTGGGGGATGTGTGGGATGGGTGAGAGGATTCACCAGAGACACAGTGGGGAGCAGAACAGGCAGTTCAACTGAAATCCACTGCTGAGGGGAGCAGCAGGCGAGACAGGAGAGGTCTGCCGCACCATGTGGTTCAGCTCCCTGCCTCGGGTTTGAACTCATGCTGCAGTGGCTGCAGATTGCTTTATAGTGCTGCACTTTAACCTCTGTGCCCCCAGGGAGGGCCCCTAAGTATATTCTTGAAGGGGATTTTTTTTTTTTTTATGTTTTCCATTACTTTAAAGGAATTGAGAAAGTGTTTTGAAAGGTTGGTTTCTTTCTCGGTCTAGTTTTCTTCACTTTTCCTCTTTGGGCTTACTCTCTTGACTCTACATGCATGTAATAAAAAAGAGATGCATATCCAAGCATAAGGGATGCTTGGATATTCGTAATGCTAATCCAGCTAAATACTAGGACTTGAAACTACTTCACAAATATGTTCTTGTTCTAAGCTCAGTTTGTTTCCTCCACCACTGACTGCTTTTATTAAAATGAACTGGTCAAATCATAATCTCTGGTTGCTGGGTGTGGCTTCCTACCAGCAGGCCCACATCCTACCCAGACTGGCTTATTTTCAATACTGGCATTTTGACATCCAAGGCTTAAAATGGAAAAAAAAAGTCATGTTTCTCTACTGAAGTTTTACTTTTAAAACAGCAAATTGAAAGTTCAAAGCCTAAATTCCAATATGCTTATGTCTTTAGGATAGTTCACTCCTTTTAGTGATGACAAAAACTAAAGTAGTAGTGGCCAGACAAGAACATTACAAGAAGAGAATCCTACAGACTGCTCTGTCTTGTGAACTTACATGCAAAAGTTTTCAACAAAATACTAGCAAGTTGATTCTAATACTGTATAAAATGAATTACACACTACAACCAACTTAGATTTCTGCAAGGCTGGTTGAACATTAGAAAATCAATTAATATAATCCATCACACTGACAGGCTAAAAGAGATAATCACATGATTTTATGTATAGAAGCAAAAAGGCATGTCACAAAATAAAACACTGTTCTCAGTAAAGTTAATAAACTAAGACTAGAAGGGAATTTTCTTGATAGAATAAAGAACATCTACAAAAAACTTATAATAACATCCATCATACTTAATGGTGAAAAACTAGCTTTCTTGCTAATATAAAAAATATATAGTAAAGGGGCTCCCTGGTGACATAGGAGTTAAAGTCTTAGCGCTGTCAAGCTCTCTCCAGTCAATGCCTACTGCAGTGCAAGTTCGAGCCCCAGCCAGGGAGCTGACCTACATACCTACATGGCTCAGCGGACCCCTCCTGTCTCCCGCTGTTCCCCTCAGCAGTGTATTTCAGTAGATCTGCCTGTTCTGCTCCCCACTCTGTCTCTGGTGCATCCTCTCGCTCCCCATACTTCTGGCCTATACCCTAGTTCTTGTGTGTATAAATAAATAAATCTTTTTTTAAATTACTAAATAAAATTATAATTTTCCTAATACAGTAAGTATGTAGATAAAATATAGTATCTAGCTAAAATTAATTTTAGCAGCATTCTTTATTTAAGCCAATATATCCAAAATACTCACCTTAACATGAAATGAATCCAAGAATTATATGAGAAATAGTTTACCTTCTCTGTTTTGCACTTAGTCTTCAAAGTTGGTATTTTACACTGATATCATATCTCAATTTCAACTCACCACTGGGGCCAGTAAACAGTGCAGGTACAGAGAGTGGTTGCCCAGGGATAATAGCGGATGAAGGTTTGCTTAATGTAGTGTGGCTATGAGGGAGGGGCTCAACTGGCCGAAACTGAGAAACAGGGAGATGTGACCTTGCAGGAGGTATTCTGGGGCACACCTGCTTCCCTGAGTATGAGGTAAGGGGTAGAGACTTGGTGTGGACTTGTTTGGTTTTCTCTATCAATAAAGTAAAACCTAAGTCCCTCCTTTGTGGCTGGTACCAAGTTCAGCCCTAGGGCTGTGGGAAAAGCGCAGGACACAGGTTCCACTAACTCGGAACCCAGCGAGCAGATCAAGCAAACACACATTACATGAGAGTGGTTGAGCGCTAAATGGTGTAAGAACAAATGCAGTGTGAGTTCAGAAGAAGGAAAAGCAGAGTGACTGGAGAAATGTCAAAGACCAGCTATTGGAAAATGGAGTAGGGGGCAGTGAGGGAAGGAAATATGATCCACACGCTTGGCATGAAGTCTGCCGGGGGCATGAACTAGGCTGTTGTCGCGGGCAAGGTAAAGAAGAGATGAACCTGGAGACTCTTAAAAAGAAAAATAACAGAGTGATAAAGCAAATAAGGAGAATCAAGCTTTCCTAGAAATGTTCTTTATCCCATTCATTCTACCCACAAATGATTGCAAGGGCAAATGATTGGATTGTGATGTGTTCTGGAGGGAAAGTTTCCCTGGAACCTTCTGCATATTTGATTAGATCTCCATAATAAAAGACGGATTAACAGGAGAAAAATAAATACCAGAATTGTATATACCACGTATAGCTCTGGTACATATGGGAGAGACCCAAGAAAACTAACTCCTCAAAAGGGACCCAAGTGACCACCTTAAATAGCATCTCAGCTAAACACAAAAGAAAGTGCAGGAGGGAGTGGCCAGCTAGGGGCCATTCAGGAAAGGCACAGTAAACAAGAGTAGGTTGCTGTGAGATTTAAGTTACTCCTTTCTTCATTGATAAACTTTCCTAGATATTTGTTTATCCTCCACTTCCTAATACAGAGAGGGAGAGGCCCCCACAAATTGAGATTCCTTTAAATGTAAATGTCTTTAACAAAAAAGTAGTTTCTCAGCTTTCAGTACCTCTCTTATATCTGCTGTTTCTTAAAAAAATAACCAAACTAAAATAATCCCTCTGCCAGAGAAGCATATTTTAGGGTGGTAAACTTTGCTCCGCAGCATCAGCATCCTTGCTGTCATTAGGGTTGATGTGGACAAACTGTGAATGCACACCTTACCACATAATGTCCATGGCTCTCCATGGGACAAACAGATCTGGAGGGACTACTCAGCATGCTAATATTCTACCCAGGTTATATAGCATGAACATCAGAGGTGCCCCACTTACAGGGGTGTTCCTTTGACAGGACCCCTGCTATTTCTATGAACCACTCACTGAAACCTACAAAGTATGGCTGAAAGTTCACTTTCCAAAAACTCATCCTCATCTTTCTCATTCTCTTTTTTGGAAAACAAGTCCATTGAAAATTTTATTAATTTGTGTTCACATTTCCAGCTGGTCTTGTGGGTGGTTCTAGTAAAATTATCCATAAAGAAACTCATTGGAAATACCCTACTTGATCTTGGCACTGATCTCCAGGCATTTTACTGTCATCACAGAGCTCAGAGGCATGATTCTGGGGGAATTAGAAGGTGAACCAAAAAGCTGGAGACTTGCTGGGTGGCAAAAAAAAAAAAAAAAAAGCCCCTCTCTGCAGGGTGCACAACCTGCCTTGTCCCCTGTGTTGGTCAGTGGTGACACCCCCCAACTGGCCAACTCCTAAGACTTTCAGGCTCCCTGAGCCACAATAGACCCACAATTGCAAGTGCCGGGTATGTGAGTCTAGATAGACGACCTCGTGATGACACCCCACTGTGCTTTCTCCCAGTGCACCCACTCTGGGAGAGCATGGATCTGGTTCCAGGGGGCGATCGCCAGTCACCCATCAACATCCGGTGGAGGGACAGTGTCTACGATCCTGGCTTAAAACCACTCACTATCTCTTATGACCCGACCACCTGCCTCCACGTCTGGAATAATGGCTATTCCTTCCTCGTGGAATTTGAAGATTCTTCAGATAAATCAGGTGAGAGCCAGCCTGGTGGTCTCACCTGGAGTGAAAGGGACAGTTGTACACAGCTTCTGGGAGACCATGGCACCAGGCTCATGGGACCTACTTTCTGAATGTATGAAAAAGTCCCTCCTAATTTTTATGCACGTTTTATTCTACCAGTATAGGTGATATTTTCATTTGTAATTATGTATTGATATATACATATATAGTGTATAGATACTTTAATTGCTTTCGAAGATAGAGTATGAAATTAAAGCTTATCCAGGTTTTATTTCTATGTTTCCATTGACTATGCACTACTTTCCTGTTTGCTGACTTTACAAGGGACTTTTATATTAAACAGTAATGCTATTTAATCAGATTTAACCAATCACATTGTAATGCATTTGAAATGGGCTAAAAAGAGGGACTCTGAGAGCTGGGTGGAGTTTGCCTTTTTGTAAGAGACTGTTATAGGTATAAGGGAAAATCTCCCGTGGTGAGGGTATATCTCTCCCTGTATCGGGAAGACCTAATTTGTTTACCTTTTACCTGGAAGAGCAAGTCTCTTTAACAGATTTAAATAAATCTTTTAGATTTATTTATGCATACAGCTGGGGTACAGGCCAAAGGTACTGGGGTGGTGGGGTTGGGGGTAGTGGTGAGAGGATTCACCAGAGACAGAGACAGAGGGGGGGAGGGGGGGCAGGTCCAGTGCCTTTCTTGGTGAGCAGCCAAGCTGACCTCCCACCCTCTGCGCCCACCACTTCCCTCACACCCTTTGCCTTTGGCTGAATTTCTTTAAGGAGGTAACTTAGCCATTTTGATGAGCAACACAGCTTCACCGGGTCTCTCCCATGTTTGTAAGGGATATCATCAGGATACTCTTGTCTTACAACTTTTCTCTTGTTATTCTGTCTGATCTTAATTTGATAAGTATCACCCTGGGAAAACTGAGAGGGGGAAGGGGACACTCCCCCAACCTCCACAGTCTGCCCTGTATTTTCAGGAGCATTCTCAATCCAGTGTCAATTTTATGACTCCTTCCTCCCTAGGGGCTAGTATCACTTGGCAACACCTCTAGACACTTGGTTATCAGGCCAGGGGTGGTGGTATGAGGAGCATCTGTTGGGTTGAGGCCAGGAATTCAGCTGGCATCCTCCAGAACACACTCAGCTTTCACGAAGAGTTAGCTAGCCTCAAATATCAGTAGAGCTAAGATCGAGGAACCCTGATCAAAGTTTTCCTTTCACGAATATGAGGAAATGAATCAGTGGCTGTCATAAATGAATGAAGTGAAAAATGTAACTTCAAGCATAAATAGAAGTGTTCACACCTGTGTTTATGCAGGCGATGGGACTGTGTTGTATCCTGGTTTTCTCTGTAGTTTCCAGTGCTTTCATTCACCCTGCTGCATACAGGTTTAGTCTCTTCCTGGTTCTCTTCCCTCTGACATAACTTGTCTCCCATGACTCAGGCAGTACTGGAGCCTGTCCTTAAGGGTTTTGGTGTCCTAATGTCCCCCATTTTCCTTTCTCCTCTGTGGGATGGCACAGGCCCAAGCCGTAACCAGCTATCTACACATGTCAAATTGAGAAGAAATTATTCCCTTTCTTCCCAGATTCATCAGGACCTTTACTCATTTTTCCAAAACTGCAGCACGTGCCTCCATGTCAGCTGGAAGCCTATAGTACTATGTTTGGTGTAATATAGGGCTTGCAGACATCTCCAAAATAGGAAGCCAGATCCATATGTTGTTGATGCCATCTTGTGCGATGGTGAGCTCTACTGCTGTTCCTGCCACAGCTTTCCCAGTGGGCAGAGCCAACCTCCAGGACCCTAGCTCTCCTCCATGCATAGCAGTCCTCTTAACCGATTAGTCTCCACCCTTGCTAGGTCCCTGGCAAATGTTTTTCTTTTTTTCTGAGGATGTTAAATGTTGGCCAGCCCTCAAATGACCTTCACAGTCTAGGGACTGTCTTTGCCAATAGAACATTACTTCATTGAGTTGAAAATTTTAGGAAGTTTTAAAATGGATTTCTTTTTTTTTTATTTTTCCTTTGGTCTCAGTGTTCAGCTTTTAAGGAAAGAGACAAACATTTTGTCTACTTCAGAAATCAAACCTCAGAATTGCCATGATCCTTTTGCGATAACAGTAAACACAGCAGTTAAACAGTTAAATAGTTCTATTAGATTAGTCTTCTACTGTCCTAATAATGCTAAAACAAACAACTTTAAGATCTTAGTGGCTTGGGACATTTACATATCACAGGGTAAACTGATATTCTGCAGTTATGTTTTGTTTTTATCGAAGTAACATTGCATCATAATATGAGTATGTGAGGCTCAGGTGTACAGTGTTGAGAATCAGCATGTATATATACCACATTAAGTTCACCACTGAACTTAGAAAACATGTCATTTTTTAACAAAATCTGCTAATTTACATGTTTTATCAGGAAGGAACAAAGTAAACCGCCCCTTTCCATTATGCTTTAATAATTATTTTCTTTAAGATACTGTTAATCTTTAATAAGTAACTAACTTTCTCTATCTCTCTTTTTCCACATTCCAGTGACTACTTCATATTTCCTGCTTATTCTTCACTGCTATTTCTCTATGCTATTGCAGAATAATCAATAGCATTCAAAAAGGAAGAGTGAATGAACATAAAAAAGTAAAGAAAAAGGAAAATATATCCTAGAAATGAAGAAAGTCAAATAATTTGAAATCTAGAAAAGAAAGGATCCAATAAATAATAAATATTAATCTCTCTCATTCTCTCTCTATGCATATGTATGTAAGTGTATATCTCTACCTCTATCTCTATCTCTATATCTATATGCTGCAGTGTGTTTACAGAGAACCAGAGGCAGAGTGTGTAAGGAAAGGACTCTGACAAAAATGAAATACACCAAACTTTATGGGATGCAGCAAAAGCAATGCTTAGAGGGAAAATTATAGCTGAAAATGCCTATATTGGAAAAGAAGAAAATTTTCAAATAAATAACCTAGCTTTCTACCTTAAGAAAATAGAAATAGAAGAACAAAAACAACAAAAAATAAAGCCTAAAGCAAGCAGAAAGAGTATAATTAAGAGCAGAGCAGAAATCAGTGAACTCAAAAGTCTGTTCATTGGAAAGATAAACAAAATTGGTAAACCTTTAGCTAAGTGGACCAAGAAAAAAATGAGAAGACTCAAACTACTAAAAGCAGAAATGAAAGGGAACATCACCACAATTACAGAAATTAAAAGCATAAGAGAAGGTACGTGCGCGTCTCATACCGCGGCCCTCTGCTCGGTATTTCATTTGACTCCTCTGAATAGCCCCAGATGCTGATTTTAATGAGTGCATGTGGGAGATACAGTCCATTGTGAGGAAGGCCACCAAATTATGCCTGGGCTGCATGGCATGGGTGGTCCCTGTAAATGTTCACCTCCTCTACAGTAACTGCTGTCGACATTGCCAAGAGGCATGAACAAGAACACCTGAATCCTGATGTTCGAATGTTCTTCCTGCCCCATCTTGCTTCACTTGCTTTACACTCTTATGTGATCCCAGGAAGAACATTTTTTTTTTAAAGATTTATTTATTTGTGCATACAGAACTGGGGTGCAGGCCAGAGGCTCAGGGGCAGTGAGAGGCTTCACCAGAGACAGAGTGGGGTACAGAACAGGCAGATCTACGAAGTACACTGCTGAGGGGAGCAGCAGGTGGGTCAGGAGAGGTCTGCCATGCCATGTGGTCACCTCTGGGGCAGGCGGGAATCGAACTCATGCGGAAGTGGCTTTAGATTCTCAGTGCTGTGCCCCAACCCGCTGCGCCACCAGGGAGGGCCAGGAAGAACACTTTTACAAACATTTTAAGGTCCTATTTTGGTCCTACGTTTAGTTTTTTTTTTTTTTAGAAAACACTCTCATGACTTTCTGTACATTTACAGAGGTTGTACTACCATCACTACAATCCAGTTTTAGAATGTGTCTACCACTCCGAAAAGTTGCGTGCCCTCTTCCTGAATTTACTTTATTTGTTTGGGTCCTGGGCATTCTTTTCCCCTTTATCGTCTCTTTTCATGCCAGCTCCCTCACCTACACGTTAATGGCAAAAGACGGTGAATGTTACATAGATTTCTTATAAGACTTACGCTGTGCTAAGTGTTTTGTATTTATGATCTGGTTTTTGGAAAGACTATTTATGTTCATCTAAATGCACACAAAGAACAAAATACCAGAAACCTCAAACCAAAAAGTCTATTTTTTAAAATAATATAATAATTCATTTTCACATCATTTTGTGCCTTTTCCCATCTCAATTGTAATCCCCGTGGGCTTCCCATCACCAGATCACCCCTGTGCCATCACCATAGTCCAGTGCATTTCCCTCCCCCCACTGTTTTTGATCCCATTCCCCACTCTACCCTCATAAAATGTCTCTGGTATATAGCTGTTCATTATTATTATTATTTTCTCGCCTGTTCCTTTATACTCCTGTGATGAGTGAAACTATCTGGTATATTTCCTTTTCTTTCTGGTTTGTTTCACTAAGCATGATCTTTTCCAGCTCCATCCATGTTGCTGCAAAAGGCATGTATTTATATTTTTTGGTTGCTGAGTAATGTTCCATTGTGTATATGTACCACATCTTTTAATCCAGTCATCTACCAAAAAATGTTTTTTTGATGTATCTTACCACTGCCCTGCTTTCTAACCCACTGTTTTCTATCTCTCTGCTGCCTTTCTTAACAATTGAACTTCCCCGCATTGCCTCATCTGTCCCTCCAAACCAACGGTAGCCTTCCCCTTCCTCTTGCTGAGGTTACCAGTGATGTTTCAGTTAACTAACTCCACAGACACATCCCAGTCTTTTTCTTTAGTTCTTGGTTTCATGGAAGATCTGTTAAGCTCCAGACACTGTGCTGGGTGCTTAGAGTAGAAAGGAGAAGGGATGGTCTCTGACTTTAAGGAGCTTACAGAGTGGTGGGTAGTCAGACTGGTGCAGTGACAGAGCTAATGCAGAATGGTAAGTGCCAGGACAGGAAGTGTGCCCTGGGGTCTGGTGAGAGAAGGCTTCCTGGGGAAGGGGACACCGCATGGTCTGTGCAGAGGTGGAGGTGTGATGCGGAGATGCTTGTGTTAGGTATAACTGTGTACAAGAGAGCGGACAGGGAAGTCCTGAGGTAGGCCCGAGCTGATTCACTTGTATATAGTACTGCATGGCCCATTTAAGAGAGTTCACGTGGGAGGGACACCCACTGATTCAACCTTTCCCCCACATTCCTTCATGGTGTGAGACACTGTCCCTTGAATTGTTGGATTTCTGTTTCAGTGATCGAGGGAGGACCCCTGGAACACAACTACCGATTGAAGCAGTTCCATTTTCACTGGGGGGCCATCGATGCCTGGGGCTCTGAGCATACTGTGGACAGTAAATGTTATCCAGCAGAGGTATGTTAAGAACTTGGGGAAAATGATTGTGAAGAAGTGGGAATATCTCCGGAGCTTCTAGGAAAGGCTTGTAAGTTCTAAGAATATGAGGAAGACATCAGGTAATTGCTAAAAATACTAAATACTAAATAAGAAGCAGACCTATCGATTATTCTGTTTATACAGGTAAAAACTCTAATTCCCTTCATCTCAAGTAACATAGCAGAAATGAACCTTAAGATCAAAGCTGAATTCTTCCCGAATTCTAGCCCAGGCTCAAATTGTAACTTAAAGTAATAGCCTAGGAACAGCACAGGGCCACCAAGTTGAGTTAACCCAACTAAGAGATGCTGGGGGCCTAACTGGAGGCTGTGGGATCGAAATAGGAAGAGCGATATTTAACAAGCATTTCTGAAATACAAGCAGTAAGACTTGGAGGCAGGGTCCTTTACAGGAGAAGAGAGGGAGAAGTTAATTGTGACCTTGAGGGTCTCACTTGGGAGGCTGGGTATTGACCTATTCATGATCAACGAAGAATAATTTTAGGTGTGAACATTGATATTCTTAGCCCCATCTCAGTGAGGTTGGGAGGCTGGAGAGTGTCCGTACATAAGCAAATCAGCAACCACTGGACCCAACATACCTTGGATCTCTCACAGGAAATGACAGTTTCCCTTTAGGGGCTGGGGGTGGGGGAGGCCTTAACTGGGGGCAGGGCTTCTCCAGAGCTCAAATAGCAGGCGGTTAGCCTTGGATTTGGGGAAGTGAATGTGAACCTACCATGAATACTCTTAACGGACTCTCCAATCTGCTCTCCACTGGTTTGTTTCGGAATAAAGCATCTTGTTGCAATAACTGATTGTTTCTGTTTGAGGTAAATATAGAGAACTATAGGGAGTGCATACGGAAATAAAATTTCTTCTTACAACTTTCCCCCAATAGAGTTTTAAATATCCCCTTAAAAGAAACACGTTAGGTGGTTAGCCTTCAAAGAAATTTGTCTTCAACTCTTGTGTAACTCCCATAGGGAGAACTTACATAAACATCGCTCCTTTAGAGGTGAATAGATTTTGGATATGAGTGTTTCCTGAAAATATGGCTGGGAATGCACAAATGTTTATCCTTCCTTGAAATGCTACCCACTTTGCTATAGAAATTTTCTTTTATTCCTCTCCAAATAGATCATTCTATTCCAAAGAAATATTCATTGGTACTCCTGCAAACATTATTTCTAACTTTCTACCAGCTTGTCCTGTACCTTTCAGTGACCTTACTTTGGGTGAGGAAACACATTAAAATATCATATGTCGAATCATGCTGTCTGCTGTCTGTCCGTTGTCTGTCTGTTTTGGCCTGATCTCCCATGGTTCTGTGTTAAACCCTTTTCAGCTGCACCTGGTACACTGGAATGCAGTCAAATTTGAAAGCTTTGAGGATGCAGCCCTGGAAGAAAATGGCTTGGCAGTGATAGGGGTGTTTTTAAAGGTAAAAGAAAAAGCTTACCAACTTTAAATGGTGTGTTGTATTCTAGGATGAAAAGATATAGCATTGCACTCTAAGCTGTAAGCATATTGGGATGAAAATAACTGATACTTAAATAACTGATACTTAAAGTATTTTAAATGGTATAAAAATGCACAATTCAAAAGAAAAGTCGCTAACCACATGTGGCAGTAGAGCACTTGACGTAGAACAATTTCTAATATTAATTAATGTAATTTTCAGGGGAAGAACTGATCTTTAAGACAAACAGGGGGCCTTTCCCTGCAGGCGCCTGACCCCTTCAGCAAACAGTCTGCTTATTTTTCCTGTGTCTAATTTGACACAGTGATGTCTGTAATATTCTAAATTACCAGTGTAAGTGTTGCTTAAGTTGCTTGGCTTGTTTTTATCTAATCTCCAGGTGGTTAATTTTACTTCAATTCTGTTACATTTCTACAATGAGATGTCAATTGTTTTTGATATTTTCTCATGTGCTGTTCTCTAGCTGGGCAAACATCATAAAGGCCTACAGAAATTGGTGGATACTTTGCCATCCATTAAGCATAAGGTAATGTTTTTTCCCCTGAGTCACCTGAAATGCATTTTACCTGCAGCTGGGTAGAGACACTGCGACGCCCTTGAGCTGGGAAGGACACTACAGCAAACTGTGTCAGGGCTCCCTGAAAGCTGCCCTGGATCCCACTTGTGGTTGATGAGATCGGCATTGAGACGCCCTGGCGCTGGGAGGCCTGGCCTGGGGCAGAAGAGATTCCCTGGGTGGCACCAGCTTCTCTGCTTTGGCTGCTGTTCCCCTGAGCTCTGGGGACTGGGGTACAGTGCCACCCCTCGTCTGCCGCTTCTAAGTCCTGTGGGCACACTCAGAACAACCTGTGCCTCTTGCCTTCTGCTCCCCAGAAGGGAAGCTTGGCAATCCCTTGACCTGTGCAGCTTCGAGGAGTCGTGTCCTGTGCTCTTGTGGGTGGGCACTTCTGTCCAACCTGGGCTGCTTCCTAGAAGTCCACCCTCTCTTCTGCTCCCGCCACACCCCCACCCTCTCCCCTCGCAGCCCAGGGTCCTGGCCTTTCAGTCTGCACTGCAGTGTAGAAAGGAGGAAGCTCTTAGACTCTGGAAAAAGAGCAGCCAGAGCTCCCTGCTTCTGCACCAGCTCCCAGGACCCAGTGGAGGTGCTGTGAGCACCTGCTGCACACTCGCTACAGTGGAGGGAGAGGCGGCTGCTGCCTGTTCCCCTGGCCTCAGCAGCGACCATGGTTCGCTGGAGGGGCAGAGCACTGCTCCATTCTGTCCCAAGCTGCCCAGAGGGGCTAATGCTCCTCCGGGCCTGTGTGGGGCCCAGACACTGGGAGCCACTGCTGAGTGCTTTTCACCACGAACCGGCGGCGATTCGGTGACCTCTTCTCTTGGCCAGGACACCATTGTGGAGTTTGGGTCCTTCGACCCTTCCTGTCTGATGCCTGCCTGCCCGGATTACTGGACCTACTCAGGGTCCCTGACTACCCCGCCGCTCTCTGAGTCCGTCACCTGGATCATTAAGAAGCAGCCGGTGGAGGTTGATCACGACCAGGTACGTTCTTTGCACATTTCTGTATGGGAAATTCTAGTCTTTACCTTTCAGACAAGGCTAGGCTCAAGCTTTGCCATCACCTTAAACATCTTGTCATCCTTTTACATTTTTATTAAAACGCACAAACATCTTCATTTGGATATGAATTGGAAAATGCTTCAGATGAACTACAGGGAAAAGTTAAAACAGGAAACATGCTTTTTACTTCCATATTTAGCAGTGATGGATGTTTTAGGTATTTTTTTTACATAAATATGAATATACAAACAAGTTCTTTTTAAATGGAAGAACGAAGGTTGGAAATGGGTGTGTTTAAAAAACTTTTAAAATCCTCGAGAAAAAATCTTTCTCTGGAATCTCAGAATAAAAACAGAATCCAGCGATGTCTGTCCAGAAACTTTATATTAAGTCAATTCTTTTGAAGTTAAACTTTTTCCTTAGAAACTACCTTTAGGAGGTGACTAACATTTCAATAGTAATTCTTAATGTTCTGAAATTATAGTAATTCTTGCTTATACTTGCCTTACAGGACTTTTATTAATTACAAAGTGTTATAACAGAAACAAAAGATTCAAAATCTTGTTTATGAAACTAGGTACCAATAACTGGCAACACAAACAACCTTCAAGGATTGGAACAAACAATAGATAAACTACAGACAGATCTCTGAAGACTGTACTTTTATTTTTATTTTATTTCTTTTTTTACATTTTAAAAGGACAAAGAAAAAGAGGCACCTGCACAGTCACAGGCGGGCAGGAGAGCTGCTGAAGACTATTCAAAAAAAAAAAAAAAAAGAAAAGAAAAAACAAAAATATCAGGAAGAGGCTCCAGCAGCATATTATACAAAATCTATACTTTGTCCAAATAGCATGTATTCCAGTAATACCCAGATGATTCATTATTAAGAATGATATTAATATAATTCATCACATCAGTGAACCTAAATGGAAAAATCATATCATCATTTCCATAGATTCTAAAAAGGTACTAACAAAATCCACCATACCACTTTTCTTTTTTTATTGATTTTCTTCAAATAAGATATAGGCCTCCCTAGTGGCATAGGAGTTAATTTTCAAATCTATCACCCCTGTGGCCTGAATTCCATCCCCAGCCAGAGAGGTGACCCACATGGCCTGGCAGACCTCTCCTGGCTCACACGCTGTTCCCCTCAGCAGTGCACCTTGTCCATCTGCCTGTTCTGCTCCCCACTCTTCACTGGTGAATCCTCTCATCCCCCTCCCCCACCAGGGACACCTCTGGCCTGTATCCCAGTTCTGTATGTATTTTTTTAAAAGACAACATTGTTTATGGTAACAACTCGACTAAATTAAAAGATATACATACAAATTATTAGTTGGTTGTTATCTGTAGCTGGTTATTTTGCCCATGGAAACCTGAGGTTCCTGAAAATTGAAAAGGAAGTAACTCATCTTTGGCAAATGGCTATTATGTGGGGGACAGGCCTGTGACCAACCCACCCAATCTTTGGCTCCAACTGGCCCACTCCTGCTGCTTTTCTCTTCACACAACTCCCTCTCCACCCTGTCCAGAGGTGAATGGTTCTCAAAAATCAGTTCTACAGGATCCAGTGTTTCAGTTGTAAATATGAAAGTAGCTTATTCTTGATGTAAAGCTGTTTCCCATTGACATTACTTATGTTTCCTATTTCTATTTCTAGCTTGAGCAGTTTCGGACCCTGCTTTTCACTTCCCAGGGGGAGAAAGAGAAAAGAATGGTGGACAACTTCCGCCCTCTGCAGCCACTCATGAACCGCACAGTCCGTTCGTCCTTCCGTCATGATTACGTGCTGAATATACAAGTGAAACCCACGCCCTCGGCCAGCCAAGCGACCCCCTAAATGACTCATATCAAAGCAGTATTTTGCTCTTGTACGCACTAGCTTTTAAAAAATTAACCAGACTATTCTAAACGCTTGCACTTATAGCTAATTTATAGATAAGCATTTCTGGGTACGGCAGTGCTCCCTAGTGAGGAATGCTCCTGAATAAACCAATTCTTGTTTTTATTGATGATATGCATCACCTGAAGAGGCCAGCAAGACACAGGTTTCTGTTACAGCAACCTGTTGGTAATTGTAATGTCTTCATGTCGGATGTTTTGCGCTGTGCTTTTGTGTTTGTCAGTTAGTGGTTCTACAGCGTCAGAAGTAGAAACTATGAACAAAGTATTTAACAGTTGGGAAGGCACCTCAGGAGACAGGCCTTCCAGAGACACCTGGGGGCCCAACTGGTGCGTCCTGGCTGAATGCTGGCCATGCTGTTAGTTTATTTAAACTTCAAGGACTTTTTCTGCCTAGAAAGCCTAGGCAGAACATTTTCAAGAAAATGCTTACAGTACACCTAGGATTTAAAAAGGTTTCGGGGTGTATTTACAGAAATATTTTTCAAAAGTAATATATTAGTCTATAATGTCTAGTATTAACTTATATTACCTGTATTCTGTGTCATAGTATATGATATTTTCTACCATGACAGAACTATCTTGGCTTCCCTTCAAAACTTTCTGAACTTTATTAGTCAAGGTTCTGTGCATGGCAGGTGATCAATATGTCTCCCAATTGATAGTGGTTTAGAAGACTTTCTGCAGTAATAGAGAATACTTGTAGATTAGGGTAAAATCTAGATAATTCTGTGTATTTTGAGGAATCCATGCCACCATTGCCTTGTTTGCACGTGTGCTGGAATGTTTTTAATTGCCTATAAGCCTGTGTCAGACTCATAGTGCATAAATTAGCATTATTTCTTTCATTAATATCCAGGCATGTGGTGGCCTGCAAGGTAAAGTTGACAGGAGATATTTAACACTACTCAACTGTGCACTGGAAAACATTAAGATGGTAAGTTTTCTGTTCAGGTTTCCTCCACTATTTAAAAGAAGGGTGCTCCTGTTTGGTAGAATTTGGTAGGGTTATTTTTGGGGTGTAGGAATACTCGATTTTTTTGTCCATATAAATTAATAGTAATAGCATTCCCAGATTCTACTTCTCACCCCAGTAACCTACCAAATAGGAATGTCCTGCTTTTAAATAGCAAAGGAAACCTCTAGTGTCTATTACCACAATTAAATGATACAGCCAGTAGGAAAAGAAGACAAATTTGGGGGGCTAGCTCTGCTCTCAAGAGTAGGGGAGGGTGAAGACATTTGCTTTCAGAGTGCGTAGCTTCTCCAAAACAGAGGCACCCCAGGAAATGAATAAAATTATTAAAAAGATAAATGTGGGGACGTTTATGTTAATTTCATGTAAGTGGTGTATCTCATACCACAGGTAGAGGCTAAGCACACAAGAGCTGCATTTTCCCTGGCACACAGGCTTCCCTCTAGGTCTCTTGCAAACTCTTAGTGCAAAGTTCTGTTGCAGTGAGACTTGCAAATTGGAGAGCTTACCGGAGACACCCTCCTTGCCTGAACAGCTTCGAGATACACAGGCTGTATTCACAGGTGTGCTCCGGTTGGCTTCCCCTGACTGACTCAGATCAGGTACTCTGATGTAATTATTAATAGTACCCCATTAACTCCGAGCCATGTCCTAGGCTGCATGGTAAATTCTTGGTCACATTCCCTGCAGAGTTATGGAAACTGCCTTGGGGTTTTCCTCAATGACTTAGTCATATGATGAGGGGTGCCCTGGCTACTGATACACCCTAGCACTTTTTACAAAACTTTTTACTTATACTTTCTGAGACATGAAGGGGAAAATGAATTTGAGATCTGCCAAATTTCATGTTAAAACTGCTGCTCATCTTCATTCAATATTAGATTAATAAAACCTTTCTTTACAATATTCGTGTTTGTCAAATGACTTTTTCTTCCTGTTGGTTGTCTTGAATATATGAGATGTCTGTAAAATTCTCAAGACATCCTTTAATGTGGAGGTCAGAAAGTGACTGGAAGGCTTCCCTCGTGGCACAAAGGGTTAAGTCTCAGCACTATGAAGCTATCAGCAGCCACTGTAGCTTGAGTTCAATCCCCTGCCAGTGAGCTAACCCACATGGTGCAGCAGACCTCTCTAGTCTGGCCTGCTGCTCCCCTCAGCAGGTATTTTGGTAGATCCACCTGTTCTGCTCCCCACTCTGTCTCTGGTGAATCCTCTCATCCCCTGCACCCAAGTTCTTGTATGCATGCATAAATAAAAATAAATCTTTAAAATTTTTTTAAAATTGTGGCTGTAATACTGATCAGGGATGAATTAGAGAAGCTGATATAGAAAGAATCAGCTTCTCCTTCCCAGCTCTCCTGCTTCTTTTGAATCAGTACACAATTTGGTGACCAATATGTCACCAGGGCTTCCCTGGAGCTACATGACTTAGGGGTAAAGATGGCAACCACCTTCAAAAAGTTGAGGACACTGAATCTGCTGCTCTTTCTATCTGGGAGTCCCCAGCCTCTAGACCTCTGAGAAATAACCTGCTGCAGTATGTTGTTACGGCAGCTAGGACTGACTAAGGTACTGCGCCTATGTACATGTTAACACATTTTCTAATTTTACCACCTTCAGAAACATCATTTGGGTTTGAGATCTGGGTGGGGATATCTCTGCCATCATTCCTTCCCAAAACACCATTCCTTCTGTTGCGCTATGCTTAGCACTAGAAAAAAGAACCAAGACAAAGTATCACTGGATAGTTCTTTTCTCCATAGAAATCTTTGAATTTGGTGTGTAAATACAGATTTGCACACACTTTTCATGTTACTATGCAGCCAGAATATTCCATCTTACTATACTAAACTGTACCTCTATTCTGGAAACCCTGTACCTATATATATGAAACCCAAGACATAGCAAAAGGCTTTGAGACCCCACTACATGCCCTTGAACAAATCTGGTGACTAATACTGGAATGATAGGTAAGAAAGGAAATGTTCTTTCCTGAGAATTTATGCAGGAATACCGCCACCACTGCCCTATTGGGAGCAGGAGTGAGCCAAATTAAGGGAAAGGATAACAACCTGGCATTCAGAAAACAGACATTTTCCCTTTATGCTTGCAACAAATGAGAAATACATTTATGGGTCATTATTCATTTTATAATAACTAATATTACTAAATATTTATGTAAGATGTTTTCCTCTGACTTTTTAAAGGTAATCAACTATTTTTTTTAAAGATTTATTTATTTATACGTACAGAACTGGGGTACAGGCCAGAGGTGCAGGGGTGGTGAGAGGATTCACCAGAGACAGAGTGGGGAGCAAAACAGGCCGACTGATGAAATGCACTGCTGAGGGGAGCAGCGGGTGGGTCAGGAGAGGTCAGGGCAGGTGGGGATCGAACTCAGGCTTTAGCTTCTTACTGCTGTGCTTTAACTCGCTGTGCCACCAGGGAGGGCCAATCAACATTTTTTAACAATGATGTAAAATAAAAACTTAGGCAATTTCAATGGGGTGGAAATGTACATTCTTGAGAATTAATAGATGCTGTACCTAAGGCACCCACAAAAGTAGAAAATAGATCTTGCACTGCAGAATGAGGATGACTGTTACCTATAATGAAGCACTATAGTTTGGAAATGGAACTGGTTTTTTAGAGTAACTTCTGTAATGAAATTGTCTTGAGCAATTCCAGCTTGTTCATGAAACTCAGTGGTTAGTGTTGAAGATAAATGTTTAACTCCCATGAAAGGAAATTTACATTCATTTCTAAATCATAATAAAGTAAATTCTAAATCTATTTAATTAGGAATATCTTCCTAAAAGACATTCTTACTGCTTTTTGATATGAAAGTCTATGGTAACTCATAAGAAAGTGACCCAAAAACTGATAAATCTTGGTCACAGGAAACAGTAACACTGTGATGTGTGAAGCTACATATTTTTTTCCTTTTGTTTCAAAATCTGCAAGTTCTATTTAACATCAGAATGACCCAGTGTCATTTTTTCATTCCTGGTTTTCAAACAACGAGGTGGCATTTGGAAACTGAAATCATGAAGAAGAAAGCCCTGATGTGGACCCCCTGGGAAGCTTTTAGAGACTTGAGGTCCTATTCGGGTTGTAGGTAACTTATTCCAGTTTGTAAGATAAAGGATGAATAAACAATGCTGGACTATCACGTGAAGTGAGAAGGGAGGCATTCTCTAGTTAGGGTCTGTAATGGCTAAGTCTCCACCTCCAAGGAGTCGAAAATTTAGTGCCAGCAACAGTCTTGGGAAGACAGCAAAGTACACTATAACATGACAGGTGTTATAAAAGATAGAATACTCATGCTAGTCGCACACTTTGGACAAGTACTTTACCTTCTCTTGAGGGGTTTGGGAGGCTTTCACAGCAGCGATGATGACGACGGTGATACTGATATAGTGGCTAATGTTTTGGGGACACCATTGCCAGTCATTAAGCCAACATATAACATATGCATTTGAGAACTTGATTTCTATCTCGATTTTTACAGATGCGAGAACTTACGACTAGACATTAAGGAGTTAACTCAAAGAGCAGAGAGGCAAGGCTTGAGTTTCCTAGCTCACCCAACTCTGTAATTACGACCCTAATTAATGTTGCACTGACCTGGACAAGGTCAACGTGGAGGTGTGTCATGCAAGTGTGTCAGTTAGACTTTATGCAGACTTTGTGCAGATTTTGTCTTGTGCTGAAAGATTGCAAAGAGGTATTAGGGGAAGCAGGGACAGCTTAATAATTGGGTATCTCAGTAATTTTTTTTTCTTCCCCCACCCTTGATCTCAGTAGTTTCGTTTTTTTTTTGAAGAGAGGAACAAAGTGAGGCGAGGGATGTTATCCAATCACTCAAAAGGGGCGTCATATATTATTTTGCAGTCGTAGCCAGAAGGAAACACTGTTTCTTGGTCTTGTGCATCATCATGATATTTTACTTTCCCATTCCCTACTCTGCTTGCCCTAATTTAATTCCTCACTTCTCACATCATGGTGATAGTCCAGCTTTATTTTTTCATCCTTTATCTTACAAACCAGAATAACTTACCTAAAACACAAATATGACAAGTCTACTTAAAAGCTTTCCATCGTTCCCTGTTGCCTACAGAACTTAAAAGGTTCTTAGCTTGGCATACAAGCCCTCCTCCGGAACTTAGCCAGCCCACCACTACCGCTTCATTCTTTGATACTCTTGAATTGCCATTTAAATGCGAAGGCCAAAACTCTCGCGTTTTCTACGAGATCCCACTTTGTTTCACCTCCCGATGCCTTTACTTCTGCCCGATTTAGCTGCTATTCCATTCCCACCCTTTACCCAGGTAAAAGCCATGTGCCTTCAAAACTCAACGCATGCATCAGAGAACGCTTCCTGATTCCCCAGTCGGACTACGCCAAGAAAAGAGACTTTTCGATACCACATCTTCTTCCCTAGGTCCCGCGCCTTCTCTGACTCTAGATTGCAAATCCTGAGAGGAAGACAGGCACCCGCACAGTCTGGGGAGTTAGGCTCGTCCAGAGCCGCCAACCCTGTGAATGGAAGGGGGCGGGGTCTGGAGCTTTGTCTCAGGCGCTGATTGGTGGAGCTGAAGAAGAAGGCGGAACCTGGCGAGGCGGGCTGCGGCGCGAAACGAGACGCGGTGAGTTTTCGGGAGTGGGTGAGGAGCAAAGAGCGCGGTGTGACTTTGCCCTGCTGGCCACCAGACACCCTTCAGTGTGGAGCGGTGGTGACAGAGCCCTGAGGGGGAGACTTTGCTTTAGGGCGCGGTAGGAGCGCCAGGGGTCCTTCAGGGAAGGACACGTTTGTGCAGAGGTTTTTCTCGCGCGCTGGGCCCTCCTCGGCGGAGGCTGGCCTTGCCCCGCCCCGGGGTCGGGTGGCTTTTGCGCCTGCGCGCCGCCGCGCCCTCCTGAAGTCCACCTCTTCCGGCCGCCTCTTGGGGGCGTGGCGGCGCTGGCAAGATGGCGGCGCCCGGGATAATGAAGTTTCCGGAGAAACGGAGGTAAGCTGGACTGGGGCACAACCTGGCGAGAAGAGGGGAGCTTGCGGGTTGAGGCCGGGCCTGGAGGATGTGTAGGGTGGAAGAAAAACCGAGCTGGGCCAAGCAAGCGAACCATCGCAGCAGCTCCAGCCCTTCTCGAGGCGCTTCCCGAGGCGCACCCCGAGCTGTCATCGGCGTCTGAGGTTCAGGGAAGTGAGGAGAGGAACATGTGGCGGGATGGAGAAAACCTGCTGTCTGGGTGTGGAAGGGCGAGATGATGATAAATACGTGCTGTGTGATTAAAACACGGGGAGCAAGATTTCCCTTCCCAGCACCCGAACGATTTTCTGACTGAGTGCAGCGGAGAGGGGAACTTACCACGCTGCAGGCGCCGCCACTGACGCTGTGTGCTTGTCTCGATCTTCCAGCCACAAAAAGTACAGGGCCGCCTTGAAGAAGGAGAAACGAAAGAAACGTCGGCAGGAACTCGCTCGATTGAGAGACTCAGGTAACTTACTGCTTTTCCTGTGTTATATGTATGAAATGCTCTTCCCACTCCGGTCCTAACTTGAGGCTGCAGTGCAGAAGGAAGCCAGCGCTGACTGATATTTAATAAAGACTTGCATATCAGAAACCATGTGAACGCACTCAAGAGGGGGAAAAAGTCACGGTGAATCATCACCCACTGATGATGTGTAAGTATTTATGAAGTATCTAATATTACAGGTGCAGGCATCATGAATTACAGCAACTAGCACAGCTCATGCACATAGTAAGTATTGGGGGAATATTTTTCTTTGTAAAACCAGTAGAGTTGAGGGTTTTAGACATTTTTCAAGTTTTTATTATTTTTGAGTAACGTAAGACACGTTGTTGACTCAAATTATTGTTTTTAAGTACATGTAAGCATAGAAGCTAGTTATGAAACTTACTTAACTATAAGAGGATATATTTCCAAATTATAAAAGCAAATGAAATTACATAGCTGGTAAAATCCAAATTTCCATTAATGTAATTTAGGGATGATGGGACACATATGTGCACGACATGAATATGGTAGCAGTTGGAGTTTGCAGTGCCAATACTACTATTGCCCTGTGTTATTTACCCTTTTTTTCTCCTGTTGAAATATTGTGGAGCCTATATTATATGTATGTCCTGGACCTCATGCCATTTGGCCTTCACACGGCAGAACTAAACATATCTTAGGCCAGCCTGCCTGTTTAATGCAATGAAATTAATACTGCTGACTTAATTGTAAACATGAGATAGTAGCTGTAAATGCAGGTGGAATTACTAGAATCATGCAGCAGTACTGGGATATAATGGTTCCCATCCAGAATATAGAGAAAATGCTAATTAAATTATCCTAGACAATTCTTGAAGTTTGTAGACCATTGCTTCAAGTAACTGGAATTTGCGGGCTTTGAGACACATAACCACAAAGATTTCATTTTCCATTGTAGATGCTCACTAGTAATAGCTGCAATATTTAGAATGGAAGAAGCAGTGTTTTTACCTGCAGCCTGTGTCAGCTTTCTTTTTTTATTCATTCAAAACTGACTAATAGAGGCAGATTCAGGCATCAGGGATAAAAGGAAATACAGTAGGTTAAAGTTCCTGAGCCCCTTGTTGTCCCTACCTCCTTAATGTTCTCAGTTACATTACTTTGTTCATTTAACCTGGTTTTTTTCTAAAGTACTTTTTTGGGGGAGCCTTTCTTCTTATCCTATTTTAAACCTAAGAGCTACTATTTATATTATGTTGCTTTTTCTTTTTTTACTTTGCAGTGTATTTAGAGTGACCCTTAGCATAGAGGCTGGTGGATCATGTCTTTGGCAGTGGAAGTTCATAGGTCGCGGGTCTGCTCAGGATCATACAGCTAATGGCAGGTCCAAGACTAAGCATTTGTCCCTGCACTACTGCTCCTACTTTTGCCCACTCCAGCTCACAGTTCTTTACTGAGCGGTGCTTCATGAATAAAGTAGCGTCCTGAACACCGCCATTCATTGTAATGTACCATGCATGGAAGGCTGGAATATAGACATCAGTGCAGTAAGAGTGAATTGGTAAATGATAAGTGTAAATTTCTGGAATTTCCATCTCTCAATTGCAGGTAGCCTCCTCAGCACCCAGTTCTATTTGCAATAAACTGAAATGAGCTGTCTTATCAGAAATGAAAGTAACTAAGTATAAAAAGCAAGTTGGGAAGCTAAAACATTTGCATGCATACAGTTGCATATATTATATACATATCAGATTTATTGTAAGTATGTATTCTAGTATCTAATATATATACATTATAAGTGTTGTGTATTAAGCATATTATGCATACTGTATACAGCTAGATATATTGTAGGTACAGTTATCCTTGCATGTATTTGTACACGTGAAGGAACACTGTATGCAGAACTGCTTGGCAGTGTGTGAGATGAGTTTGAGGGTGGATGGGCAGCTGAGAGAGTCAGGTGACAGATATTTTGTTTCCAGGAAGGCCTCTTCTGTGGATAACCTTTGGAAGGCCCTTGATGGTTATTTAATTATCTGTGAGTTAGCATTTTTCTTAAAGTCTTTTCCTCTCTTCTTTTAATCAGGTGCTGAAATAATAAAGTTTACTTAAGAAAAGTAAATTACTGTAATTATTGCAATTATTTAGCTTTTGGTTAACTCTATATTCAATATACGTGACACACAAAATCTTTTTCCTGAAGCTTGAGATCGTCTGTTGTATTTCCTTAAGATAACTTTAATTGTCTTCCCTTTTTCCTCAAATTTAGAGTAGGACAGGATACACATTTTAATTCTATTAAAAATATTTTCCCACATTTTTATAAAATGACACAATAAACATCCTTCATCTAGATTTGCCAGTTAACATTTTACCTTCTTTTCCTTTTCTCTTTACATAGATAGATACATGCTACATAGACCTTTTTCTGAACCCTTTGCCTGTCAGTTGCAGATATCATAACACCTTACTCCTAAATGTCTTCAGCCTGTGACTCCTAAGAATAAGGACCATAATATCACACTTACAGCCAAGTTTAGGAACAGTAGTTCAGTGCTGTGGCATACAGACTAAGACTGATTGTTTTGAAACTTTCAAGCCAGTAGGAAAACCTGCCACTCTAGAGTCATTCCTCCCTGAAGTAGCTTTGGGTCACAGTCTTTGTGCAAAAAAGGACAGAGCAGTTGCTGACTACCTCCCTTGGCGTCCTGGGGCGCGCCCTCCAGGCCAGTACAAGTTGCTCATTCCACCAGTGTGGGCACAGCTCCCCCCAGTGTGCCACTGGGACAGTGTTGCTCCTATTGGCAGTTAGCACTCATTGGCAGCCAATGTTTTCAGAGGGAGCAAATCAGTAGCTTCTTCCAGATAAGCTTTCATCCAGTGTTTTCAGCGTCTTTGTCTGAACTAGCCCATACCATGGGGTTGCAAAAGTGGTTCCTTTCTTCCTACTTAGCTCTTCCTACGTTTTCAGTTGGCATTCTTCTCTAAAGGTAGATGTTCCCTTCCACACCCCCACCGCCTCTTTGAATGTTACTGTGGAACTGTCAATTCATTTTTATTCCATGTATTATCTACAACTGTTATTGTTCTTTTTGTTTCTCACATGGTATCAAATCTGAGCAGTTGGAGCCTGTATCATTAGAAAGTTTTAAAAGCCAAGTTTGTATTATAATTGTAAGGATTAAAGATTGTATCTAGTTGGTTTTTGTTTTTCCTGAATTATTGACCAAGGTGTTGCAATGTACAGATAGTTTGATAAACCATATAAATTTCCCTTAGGACTCTCACAGGAGGAAGAGGAGGAGGAAGAAGAGGCTTTTATTGAAGAAAAGCAACCAGAAGAAGAGGACCTGTTGGAAATCGAGAGGTCAGCACTGACTGGAAACTCTTCTTGTCATCCCATTTATTTTATTTGAATATTATAAGTCTTCATTAGTTAATACAGGTCTTCATAAACTCTTGTACAGATATCCTTGATAAACCACTTTAATCAAGCTAATTGACTAAAACTAGATGCCATTTAGAAACTTTTGTTTTTCTACTGAATGATAAATGACTAATGGAAGACTTACAACAATGAAGCCCTGTTTTGATGATACTGGATTAATTCAGAGCTCATGTTGCAAGTCAAAAGAATATTTTCTTTATATAAGCAATTCATTTTCAAGGGTTCTTTTGTTTAATTCTATTAAACTGTTAGCAAACTCTTTAATTAAAAGGACTGCTTTAATGTGTGCATTTTAATGACTTTTTTACTTTTCACTAATTTGTAAATGTTTTGAAAAAGAATTCCAAGTAAATAAGTATAAAAAGTGAAAGTGCTCCAGTGACTGCATTGTCCCCAAAGATAACCACTGTCAGGAAGGTAAGAAAAGTGGAAACAGACTAAGTGCCCGAAGACATAGGAGTGGTCAGGAAAACACTGTGTGTGTGTTTGTGTATGTGTGTGTGCTTGTGTGTACACACAAGCATGTGCACAATGGGTGGTACTCAGGTGTAAAAAAGATGAACTCTTGCCATTTGCCACAACATGGAAGGGATAATACTTAGTGAACTACGTCAGAAGGAGTAAGACAGACACACCATGGTCTCATAGGTGGACTACAGAGAAACAAAGGGTCAGACCAATACTAAGTCCTTGACCTCTGACTGTAAAACAGACATCCAGAAGGGGGAGGTAGCAGGGTAGGACTAGAGGGGCCAGTGGATCATGGAAATTCTTGGTGATGAGCATGACATGGTGTGCAAACATAACACTTTAGAGGTTTGAACCTAAAACCGCTGGAAGTAAAAACAACAATGTAAACCAACTTTACCTCAAACAACAATATAAACAAACTTTACCTCAATAGATATGGGAGGGGATAGCGAAGGGAAGGATGTACAAAGGAAAGTATGTGTGTGTGTTTATAAAATACACTTGGTTTCTAAATGGGATAGTATGTATACATTTTTCCAGAAGTTGCTTTTTTGCAGAATGAGTAAGACATTTCAGTGTTAATGCAGACATCATGCAGCTCTTTCAGTAGTGACACAGTAGCCAATGTATGGATGTAGCTTTGCTTATTCTTTGTTCCTATTGTAAGTTCTTATACTGGTGGACATTCAGTACTATTACGCAACATTCAATTTATTATGTAAGTTGCAGTGAGCATTCACGCTTATATGGCCTTGGTAGCTCTGATAACTTCCTAGGAAAGTAGCTAGAAGTCAAATTGCTGGGATGAAGGCACAGTACATGACAATTATAGATGTCTGGGTACAGATGCATCCTGGTTTGGGGGCTTGCAACCCTTCCAGTATGGATCAAGGTGCTTGTCTCCCCCACCGTTACAAACTAAGCATTATCAATTTTTAAAATACCTGTAATGAAGAATTGTGTTCATTGTTTCCCATTTACATTTCTTAATAAGATTGCATATCTGTTTTTCCTAGGGGCCATGCTAATCTTCTCTATTATTTTAGTATATATGCTACCAAAGTGAGCACATGAATATGTTTTCCTATATTAGATATTTGTAGATTGTTTAAGTCTTACCTCTTTCTCTTTTGGGAAACGTGTTGTTGTAGAAGTAACGTTACTACTTTTTATTTTTTTTTTATTGAGGGATCATTGACATAACATGTTTCAGGCGTCCAACTTAATGATTCACTATATATTGGGAAGTGATCACGATAACAAGTCTAGCTAACATCCACCCCCAGACATAATTGTACTTTCTTTTTCTTGTAATGAGGATTTGTTAGGTCTAGTGTCTTAGCGAGGTTCAGATGTGTACTACGGTGTCACTCTCTGGAGTCCCTGCTGTACATTCTATCCTCAAGACTGAGGTAGAACTGGAAATTACTGTCTTTTGACCCCTTCCACCCATTTCTTCTATGCCTCACTCATCCTCTGGCAACTCCTAACCTGTTCTCTGTATGAGCTTATTGTTATTCTAGATTCCACATATAAGCAAAATCATACAGTATTTGTTTTCGCTGACTTATTTCACGTGGCAGTGCCCTCAAGATCCACCCATGTTATCAGAAATGGCAAGATTTCATTTTCTTATGGCTGAATAGTCTTAACAGTGTGTGTGTGTGTGTGTGTGTGTGTGTGTGTGTGTGTGTTTTCTCCACATACCCCGTTTTATTTTACCATTCATTGATGGACATAGGTTGTTTCCATGCCTTGACTATTATAAATAAGGCTGCAACGGACATAGGGTGCAGATATTTTTGAGTTAGTATTTTCATTTTCTTTGGATGAATACCTAGACACAGAATCCCTGGACCGCATTTATATCCCTAACAACAGTACGCAGGCATTCCTTTTTCTCTATGGCATTGCCAATATGCGCTGCTACTTGTGAGTAACCAGGTGTGAGGTGATGGAGCACTGTGACTGTGATTTGCATTTCCCTGGTTAGTGGTAAGGAGCACCTAGTGATGTGCCTAGATGTTTTCGTTGGGGAAATATCTATTTAGATTCTCTGCCTTTTTTTTTTTTTTTTTTTGTATAGGAGAACTGGGGTGGAGGCCAGAAGTGCAGAGCTGGGTGAGAGGAGTCACCAGAAACAGAATGGGGAGCAGAACAGGCGGATTTACTGACATACACTGTTGAGGGGAGCAGTGGGAAGACAGGAGAGGTCTGCTGTGCCATGTGGGTCAGCTCCTGGGCCTCAGTCTATTAAATGATATGATTTGTTTATATATTTTGGATACTAACCCCTTATCAGACATGATTTGCAGATATTCTCTCTCATTAAGTAGGGTGCCTTTTTATTTCATTGAAAGCTTTTTAGTTTCATGTGGTCCCACCTCTTTATTGTTGCTGTTATTGCCTTTGCTTTTGGAATCATATTCAAAAAAAGTTTCAACTGAGAATGGTATCAAGGAGTTTATCACTTATGTTTCTGTTTAGGAGTTTGATGTTTTTGGGTCTCCAGTTCAAGTCTTTAACCCTTTTGTGTTAATTTGTGTCTGTGGTATGAGACGGTGGTCGAGTTTCATTCCTTTGTGCCTGGCTGTCCAGTTTCCCCCCATTTGTTGCAGAGACTGTCATTTACTTGTTGTATATCCTTGCTTCCTTTGTTGTAAATTAATTGACCATGTGTCTGGGTTTAGTTCTTGGCGCTCTACTGTGTCCCATTGATTGGCCTGTGTCTGTTGTAATGCTAATACCATACTGTTTTTGATAACTACAGCTTTTTTTTTTTTTAAATTTATTTATTCGTGCAGAACTGGGGTACAGGCCAGAGATGCAGAGGGTGAGAGGATTCACGAGAGACAGAGAGGGGAGCAGAACAGGCAGATCAACGAAGTACACTGCTGAGGGGAGCAGCGGGCGGGTTCTGCCACGCCATGTGGACTCCTCGGGGCAGGCGGAAATTGAACTCATGCGGAACTGGCTTAAGCTTCTTAGTGCAGTGCTTTAACCCGCTGCGCCACCAGAGAGGGCCGATAACTACAGCTTTTTAATATAGCTTGAAGTCAGGAAGCATGATGCTGCCAGCTTTATTCTTCCTCAAAGTTGCCTCAGGGACTTTTGTAGATCCATATGAATTTTTAGGATTGTTTGTTCTATTTCTATTTAAAAAATTGGAATTTTGATAGGGGTTGTGTTAAATTTGAAGATTGTGTTGAGTGGTGTGGACCTTTTAACAATATCAGTTGTTGGCCCTCCCTGGTGGCGCAGCAAGTTAAAGCATAATTCTGCAAGCTGGCCACGGCCACTTCAGTGTGAGTTCAACTCCCTGCCCTGGAGGTGACCCACATGGTGCAGCAGGCCTCTCCTGTCTCGCCCGCTGTTCCCCTCAGCAGTGTACTTCATTATCTGCCTGTTCTGCTCCCCACTGTCTCTGGTGAATCCTCTCACCGCCCTTGTGCCTCTGGCCTATACCCCAGTTCTGTATGCATAAATAAATAAATCTTAAAAAAAAAAACTTGGCCCTCCCTGGTGGCTCAGCGGGTTAAAGCACAGCACTGAGAAGCTAAAGCCACTTCCTCATGAGTTCGATTCCCTTCTGCCCTGGAGGTGACCACATGGTGCGGCAGACCTCTCCTGACCCGCCCGCCGCTCCCCTCAGCAGTGTACTTCATCCATCTGCCTGTTCTGTTCCCCACTCTGTCTCTGGTGAAGCCTCTCACCCTCTGTATGTCTGGCCTGTACCCCAGTTCTGTATGAATGAATAAATAAATCTTAAAAAAAAAAAAGCTTAAAAAAAAAAGACAAAAACAGTATCAGTCCTTCCATGAACACAGAACATGTATTTGTCTGTTCTTTAGTTTCTTTAATGTGTGTCTCCTAATTTCAGAATACAGAGGAATGTTATTACTTGACTAAGGATATTTGACATGTGTTTTTCTTGTCATAAGTGCTACATACAGCATTACTGAGCATAACTTGATTTTCACTTGGTCACTCGCACGATGATATGTAGCCTTGATGTCTGTGTTAGGAAGGCTCTCCCATCCCGAGATGATGAATCTATTCAGCTTTTTTTTCTTTAGTATTTTTCAGGGGCTATTTTTATTTATCAATTTTGAAAGGTGGTACACAGTATTATGGGTGTGCTTAATGTTAGCGACTGTAGACTTAAAATGGTTAAAATGTTAAGTTTTGTGGTGTGTATATTTTGCCACAATTAAAAATAAATTAAGCATTTTTAAATGGCAAAGACCTTTATAGACATTCTCTAGTTGTTTAGTGTGTGCATTGGAAATGTTCTTTCATGTTAATCTCTGTTGTCTAGTTAAGTGCAACAGTAGGTAAAATAATTAGAATGCCCAAAAAAATCCCCAAAATGTTGTCATGATTGGGAGCATGGAGTCAGATTTGGCCTCATCTGTGTTCCAGTCTTGGCCTGGCTACTGACTAGCTCTGTTCAAGTGCTAGTTTCCTTGCCTTAAATATAGAGATAAAATCTATCATAGTACCTACCTCCTGGGTAGGTTAAATGAATGATTAGAGTACAGTGTTTAACATAGGGTTAGCAAGCCAAGGTGCTGTAATAACTCTGGTTTGTTCTTATATATTTCTGTTATGATAATAATAATATATATATATATATATATTTGAGTTTCTTTGAGATTTGGTTAACTCTTACTAGAAATGCTTCTTTAAAATCACATGTATCTCTGTGTTCTTTCGAGCTTTGTTTATTCCTATACAAGCTACATAATGGAAAATGAGTGGATGTGAAAATACTGTATGACTTTCACATACTGCTTTAAGCAGATCTCTAATCTCAAAGGTAAATATATCCAGACATTAGTTAAAGTTGTGAGAATCACTTTGATTCAGTGATTCTGAAGAGTCTTGGAAAGAGCTGAGTCCATTCCAAGGTGGTTTGGTCCTTGCAAAGAGCACAAGCCACTGGGCTGGGCAGAGGCTCAGTGGAGTCAGAGAAGCAGAACGTGCCCAGGGTTGCTCTGTGGAAACGTGATGAGGACAGGTGATAGCTGGCAGAAGAGAATGTTCTGTCCTGCAGAGACTGCAACACAGAGGCCTTTTCAGTTTTATTGTTTTTTTTTTTTTTGTATCGAAGTACTTTGGTTGATAGCAGAAGTTTCAGGTACACACCATTATAAACAATATCTCTGTATACTATGCTTTGCTCACCAACAGCCTTCTTACCCTTCTCAGTGATTCCATTTGCAAGGAGTAACTCTCAGTCCTTGAGGGAGACACTTCCAAGGTGCAGGAATATGTGCTTATTCACAATTTTCAGCCCTTCTTAGTCAACTGCTTTCAGGCTTGTTAGTATACTGGCACCAAACATCACCGTGATGCAGCTCAGGGAGAGATGTCAGAGACTGAGAGGTCGGAGAGGTCGATGGTGAGATGTGACTCTTCTGCCTCCGATGATGATCCGATCATTGCTGAAATGTAGTGCTTTCCCCAGGTTGCTGCTTATCTCTCTGGCCCTCTTATCCCCACTTACCTGCTTTCTGGAGAATCTCTTTCATGCTATTTAGTCATTTCCCAGGGAATGCATCATGCATGTGTTTGTATTGGTCTACTAATGCCCATTTGGTAACATCATTCCACCGATAGGCAAAAATTACATGAGGAATGGTTGCTGCGGGAGCAGAAGGCTCAAGAGGAGTTCAGAATAAAGAAGGAAAAAGAAGAGGCAGCTAGAAAACGGCAGGAAGAACAAGAGGTACCGTAGTGATCAGATAACCAGTTCACGGATTAATGGCGTTACCAAAACAACTCTCCTAGAGATTTAATATATGTAGGACTTGAAAGAAAATTGATCTTAATCATGTTATCATATTGTTAGGATATTTCCTTTATCTGCCATGTATGTTAAAGGTCTTCAAAAAGTGAACCTGAAAAAGAATTTACCCTTCCTCTCTTCCCTTCCTCTGCCAGAGAAAGTTAAAGGAAGAATGGGAAGAACAGCAGAGAAAAGAGAGAGAAGAGGAGGAGCAGAAACTACAAGAGAAGAAAGAACGAGAGGTGATTGCCTTCCTCGGAGGGTAGCCAGCCACTACTCTCTCCGTGAGCAGTAGGCATGGGGTGGGGGTGGCGCAGTCCTCTGCTCCTTAGGGTTTGTGCTGCTGGTACTTTTGTTTTTTTCCAGGCACCAAGTGCAACCATGGGCTTTTTCTGGTAATATAGTGGACACTGGAAAGGTAGCTCTAACTAAACTTTGAGGTGTCAGCAGGATGGGCTGGGTCTTTGTGTCTAGAAAGAGTTGTGGTATCAGTGTGGATGCTAGATTTCCTCACATGTTTTGGCAGCCTGCAGCCAACTCCATGTGGTCTGGACGCTTCCCCATGCTAACAGGCATTTCTCAAGAGGCGGGTCTGAGAATCGACTTGGTTCTGACACTGTGCCTGGAGGTAGTGTCCCCTTTAGGTGCAGGTCCATTGGCTTGGTGACGGAGAGCCAGAAATTCAGAGAGCAGGTTTGCTTTAACAGACCCAGGAATTCCTTGCCTGACAGCTAGGGCGAAGGGAAAGCTCCTGTTCACACTTCAGGCTGGAGTCTTAGCTCATGTGCAGGGGTCTTTTGCACTTTTGCACACAGCCTTTTATGTGCAGAGCACTTAGTTGCCATCCTGGGGATGACTGGTGGGGTCCAGTTCCTCGACTGCTGCTCTCCCATTTCACTTCTTATAACAGGCACAGCTCAGTGCAGCAGTTATTCTACCTCGAGACTTAGCAGCTAGATTATGTCTTAGGGGGCTAGGGAAGCAAATTACGTTGAGAACAGAATTTAAAACTTTTGGAAATGTCAATGAGGTAAAAAAAATATAGTATATTCTAGTCCTTATGTAAGTATGTTTTCATCAGTCACACTTACTACTGGCCATGTCCTAATTTAGCACCTGCTAAATGTTTGTCATAGTTCAGCAAGTATCGTGCTTTAGAATATTCACTAATGCCTCATCCTGAAAACCAAAATGTGGTATAATTGTTCAGCTATACAAAATATTGTTTTAAGCCTGTTTTGCAGTGTGAACAATTCAATGTCCTTGAATAAAAATTCTCAGCTCTAGATCCTTTGAAAGTTTTTCAGAAGATCTGTGCTATAGAAACTAATTAGAACCTGGACTTTTTTGTATGAGTGGGTTTGTGTTTCAAAGTCTTTTGTGCTTGAGATTCTGAACTCGAGAATGCAGTTAAAAGAAAGCAGTGACTTAGCTGAGTTATCATGGTTTTCATGAGTCCCATGTTTGCACCATTTCCAGGAAGCTGTGCAGAAGATGCTGGAGCAAGCTGAAAATGAGGTATTTCTAAAGCCTTACATTAAATTCAACTTGACACCAACTAACATTTTGTTCAAAAGCAGACATTTTATTTCTGGGAAATGCTGACTTTATGGGAAGCTACTTACATTACACCTAAATATCTGGAATCACTTGTGACTGTGATTTCTGCAACAACTAGCCCCTTAGAAGTTGACTGAGAAACAACAGCAAATGGTATTGAATCACCTCTTATCGCCCCTTTAACTGTGTGTAAGCATAGCAGCCACTCATGCCCCCAAGTGTAAGGTTTCGTTTGGCTCAGAGTAATTAGATTTCTCTGTGGTGGTTCTCTGTCAAGAAGACCTTTGACCCTTTTCAGATTGGATGGACAGAGGGGAACTTGGTGACTGTTTCTGGTAGCCGTAGTGATGCCTTCATGGGAATGAATGGGAACCAAGAGAGCACTACAGCTGTGCCTCAGAGTAGTTGCTTGTGAAGTTGCAATTGTGCACTACAGCTTCGATGTGTCTGGCCTTAAAGGCATCCATTTTAGTTTTGGCAAAATAATTTTAATACATCTTAAATGTTGGACTTTGTGGATTTATACACCACCAATAAAATGGTCATTTTCAACAGCTGGAAAATGGTGCCACGTGGCAAAACCCAGAACCTCCCACGGACTTGAGAATAATGGAGAAAGATCGCGCCAACTGTCCATTCTACAGTAAAACTGGAGCTTGCAGATTTGGAGATAGGTAACTAATTTGCCTTATTGGGTCAGAATTCAGTGAGTCAAGTGTTGAGGCGCTTGAGTCCTCATTGGGGGAGTCTCCCAGGCTATAGTGGGCGATGTCCCAGTCAGGCATCTGCTGTGTCCTGGCTGCTTCTCCGGCTCCTTGCTGCCCCTCCATGGGTTCAGCTAGTTCTCTGAGAGCGCCGTACTGCCTTGGCCCCTTCTACAGCTTTCTGAAGGCCTTTTGCTCTTTGTTTTCTTCCCGTGTTTGCATTAGTCCCTGTGGGACAACTTGGAGGGGAAATAATCTAGTTTAAGAGCCAGGAGGGCCTGGCTTTACTTATGGAATGGAATACACTCATGCACAAAAGAGGCTTTCAAAATCTGGCATGCCAAAAGGGGTTTTGGGGAGGGCAGGCTCCCAGAGAGTAGAGGACAGAGAGGCTAATGTGCCATCCTCAGCCAATCACTTCCCCAAGTCACTTTAGTGGCTGTAACTTTGGGCAAGTTACTTAAGCCCTCTGTGCTCACTTTTCCCGTCTGTTACAGGGGACTGAGCGTATTGCCCCCTGACCGGGTGCGAGTGTGCGCGTGCCTGGGAAGCAGGTCGACCGTGTGACTGGGTTCGCGGCCCTTTTCCTTATGCTACTGCTCCCGTGTTCTAGACCCTCTTGTTCCTGCCTCTTTTTGCATTGATGTTTTAGAAAAAAACCTTCATGTGGAAATCTTAAATATCACTGCCTTCATTCGTTTAGCTAATACTTAAATACCTACAGGATGCCTGATATGATAATCTCTTTAATGGGGCTGGTTTATGAGTTAATAACACCCCAAGGGGTGAATGATTCATCAGGGTGAATGAATCCATCTGAAGAGCGTCTTGTTACTGTGTGTGCTGCCCGTGCCCAGGATGGCACCTTTATCACTGTTCCCCCTCAGAAGAGATGTGAATAGGCAAGCCCAGCAGAGCCTACTGAGTGACTGACTCCCTTCCTCGTGTCTGTCCATAGATTATCCTTTCGACAGTTGAAAACAGGAACTTCCCCATCTTGTCTCCTTTTTAACTTAAGCCCTCATACCATTTTATATTTTGTAAGACCAGTGGTTCTCAACCCTGGATGCCTGTGACAATTGAAAACTGTGGCTACCTGGGGTGGAGTAGATGAGTCTCGGAGGCGGGGTTGCCTGGTGCCCTTCCTCATGGTGCCTGCAGGGCTTTCCGCTGTGCCCAGGAGCATGAGAAGAGTCATGGGAGCTGGCTAGTGTAAGACCGTCATCTTTTGAGGAATTGAGAACTGAGGAACACAGAAAGGCTGCATTCCCCCAGGTCCCTTGAGTACTGTGTCCCAAATGTAAGCTCCTTTCACCAAGAGGCAGTGATCACTGGTTGATGGAGACACCCCGCAGCAAGGAAACAGTGTGTGGTGAATGGCTTGATTTACTATTGAGGCACAATACTCTGCTTCCTCTTCAGATCATGTGTATCTTTCACCTTTGACTCAGTGAGGCACAGTTGACACGCCATTATGTTAGTCTCAGGGGTACCGTGTGAGGATGGTACAGGTACTGTGAAGTGATCACCACTGCAGTCATTAATGTCTGTCACCACATAGTTCCAGACAGTTTTTCTCTGGTGATGAGAAGGTGTGAGGCCTGCTGTCTCAGCAGCTTCCAGACATGCAGTTTGGTATAACTGGACGTTTGTACCTGTTGACTCCCTTACCTATTTTGGCCCCTACCTGTGGCCTTGGCAAGCACCAGTCTGTTCTCTGTTTTATGGGCTTAGGTTTTTTTTGTTTTGTTTTGTTTTTTAAGAAAGCAATAATTTTATTTTTTTAAGATTTATTTTATTTATGTATGCATATAAGAATTGAGATCTAGGCCAGAGGTGCAGGAGGTGAGCACATTTGCCAGAGACAGAGTGGGGAGCAGAACAGGGATATTTACTGCTGATATTTACTGCTGAGGGGAGCAGCAGGAAGTTCAGGGGAGGTCTGCTGTGCCATGTAGGTCACCTCCCTGGCCAGGGATCAAACTCAGGCCACAGTGGCTGGTGACAGCTTGATAGTGCTGAGACTTTAACCCCTGTGTCACCAGGGAGGCCGTGTTACTTTTTTTACTTTTTTTTTTTTTTTAAGATTCCACGTGTAAGTAAGGTCAGTGTTTGTCCTTCTTAATCTGACTCACTTCATTAAACATGGTTTTTTCAAAGTCTATTAGAGTGAATTATCCTCAGATAATCAAGACCCAGTGTGAATTCAGTTTTGTAGATAGTTGAGTCAAATTGCATTTAAGGCTTTCGTGCTGTATCTTTGCTGTCTCCCTGGGTTCCCAGACTCACCACCATCTGGTTCTGTTCCTCCTGCTGTTGGGCAATGGGGAGAGGCGACCAGCCTACGCAGCTTCAGGAGCTGCACTGACAGTGCTTCTCCATGGACAGAGGAATGGATTGGAGACTCCTGAAACCCACCTCTGAGAGTTGTGTCAAGGAAGTGGTGACAGTGGTGAGATCAATTGTGAGCATTCCTCAGTATTTCCCAGGCCGCGGAAATGTCCGTATTCCAGCTTCCAAACAGTGCAAGGGAGAGTTGGGTATTGGCGTTGTTCAAGTGATGAGTTCAAGTTGAGCTTCTGTGAGATTAGCGATTATAAAACCCAGCAGTGAACTTCACACAGAAGATGCTGTTCCCCTTTAACCTAGAGCCGCGCCCACTTGCTCTGGAATGGCAGTTGTTTTCTGCTCAGGTCTGTAACATGCTCAGACAGACAGCTCTATGCCCTCGGCACATATTTGGTGTTTCTTTTTTTGTGATTAATAGTGTTCACCTCTAAAACCTTTCCAGAGCTGGTATTTTTTGGAGTCACAGCCTTGAAGGGAATTTTATGATTTTCTTCCAAAAAGATCATATGCAATGATGAAAGTCAAGCTGGTTTATGACCTCGCTTCTTTCTAGGGGTGAATTTGAAAAGCCTCACAATCTACTGCACTAAGTTTGATAAGAATAAAAGAAATTGGAAGCAAGGAAAAGGGGAGAAGGCATGTTATTGGGAATGTGGAGTAATGTATTCGACTCTGGGCTGTCATGCATTCTGGACAGGAGCTACGCAGCTCTTAACAAAGCGGAAGAACAAATAGTATCTCTGGAACCAGATTTTCTTGGCATCAGAGTCTATTAGAATATTGTATAGAAGTATTGAGTAGGAAGAGGATAATCACTTTGCTAACTATTTTGTTACCTGTCATAGACGTCATTTTCAGGAGCAAGCTGCTTTGCAGAGACCTTCTGTAGTGAGTTCAGCTTAACTGTAGCATGTAACTTGGTCCTGTGAAGGACAAAGGTACTGGGTACTTGGCCTGCTCCTTGAGGAAAGAGCTGACTCAGTTAACTATGCCTGAAGGGCACTGGGATTCCCACACCGTTAGTTGGTAGTCCTTGTACTACGGCCGTATCCAACTCTCTCACTCTTCTGCTGTCTTGTATCTGAGTAATTTAAGTATCTGGGAAATAGGAAAATAGTTTGTCCTAAGCCAGCGGTTCCCAGATGTGCCTGCTCTTCAGGCCCAGGGGGGATGTTCTTTTGAAAATGTAGATTCTCTACTCTTTGATATCTGAACAATGATCTGGTGCAAGGCCCAAGTGAGAAATCTCAGTTCTTCCCAGGAGAATCTAAGAATCACATAGGCGTGGTGGTGCCTCCATGGTCAACTGTCTCCCCAAGTCTCTCTTGTCTTAGCTGACTTTTAGTAGGAGCTGCAGCCCTGACCTTGAATCCACTCTGACTGTGTGGACTGTCTCCAGGCCATGTAGGATCTTCCCTACGCCAGGGCTTCAGCTCTGTTCCAAAACTCACCAGTGGGGGCCTCCCTCGTGGTGCAAAGGGTTAAGCGTAGCACTATGAAGCTATCCACAGCCACTGCAGTACAAGTTCGATCCCTGCCAGGAAGGTGACCCACAAGATGCAGCAGACTCTCCACTCTGACTGGTGAATTCCCTCACCCCTCGCATCTTTGGCTTGTACCCCAGTTCTTGTATGCATAAATAAATCTGGGAAAAAAAAAACACAAAAAACCTCACCAATGCTCATTTTATATCCTGGGGTCTAGGGACAAGTTCAACCAGAAATAATAATCAAATTCTGACTCAGTCCTAACTCTGCGGCTAGGTTGACTGCTCACCTGGTTCTGTTGGTAGCTGTGTTTGGGACAGTGTAACTTCTTACCTGGTGTCTAACTGGATAACCAAGGAGGGTTCTTTGGAAAACAGAAAAGTTCATACGGATGTCCACTGATGGTGCACCCTTGTGTGTGTGTGTGTGTGTGTGTGTGTGTGTGTGTGTGTGTGTGTGTGTGTGGTGGGGGGTTGGGGGGACATGTGCAGGCCTGTGTGAATTAGGGTATGACTGTGAGGATGTTTGCTGTGAATGTGGAAACTGGGCCCGGCAGCTAGTCATTCTGGGGCTGTTGTGTTTTTCAACCCTAGACCCAATCTGCATCTGTTTTTCTTCCCTGCAGACCTGCATTGTTATTTTTATCTTGCCTTTACGTTTTTTTTTTTTTTTTTTTTGTCTAAGCCAATTTTTTAACTAGAAGCCTAACCTGGACAATTTTGATGACTGGAATCTTGACTACATTTCCTTCCCCATCATGGAAGTAAATAAGAAAATAAACTCATCCAAAATTATTTTAGGAGTCACTCAGGTGCAGCATGGTCCTGTTTAAACTCTGCAAAGAAGAATTTCCCATAAACATTTATTGTGCCACGTCGTAGCAGGTACTGGGCTGAGGATGCCTGCAGGTCAGCAGCCCACGGATCAGTGGCCTGTCGCTTGAGTGCTTGTGCTGCTCTAGGCCTCGGCTTCCTTCTTTGCAAGGTGGAGGGACTCATAGGCAGTGTCATGACAGGTTGTGAATGTGATGATAAGAGGAAAGAGTGGCAGGAGAGCTGTGAGACCCGTATACGGAGGAGGTGGGTCTGGCCCATGGAAGGGCCACTTGTTGGTCACCCTGCTCTCTGGGCATGGAGGGCACCCAGGTGACGGGGTGCAGGACCATGGTAGTCTCCCCTCTCCCAAGTGCCACCTGTGACCTTGTGCGCCTGATCCCCATCTGTCAGCTCGGCCTTCTCTGTCCTTCCGTGCGGCCTTCTCTGTCCTTCCGTGCGGAGAAGGCTGCCTGACCTCCATCTACTGGCTACTGAGAGCCTATGGACTTGGAAATGATTCCCACTCTACATTTCAATGTGGGCCCATCTACATTGATAAGTCTTAGGAAGTTTTAAGTGTTCAAATCTGATTCTGAATTGTTAACTTACAGTCTAGTGGAAACAGGCAGGTCTCTTGAATCAGTATTTTGAGCTTAAGGACAGATTTTTATGTGTTGTGTCTAACCCTCAGACAGCTGAATCCAAGGGTTTCTTTCCTGTGCAGGTGTTCACGGAAACACAACTTCCCCACCTCGAGCCCCACCCTTCTCATTAAAAGCATGTTTACAACATTCGGTATGGAGCAGTGCCGACGGGATGACTATGACCCTGATGCCAGCCTGGAGTACAGTGAAGAGGAAACCTACCAGCAGTTCCTAGACTTCTATGAGGATGTGCTCCCCGAATTCAAGAATGTGGGGAAAGTGATCCAGTTCAAGGTGGGCATGCGCAATGTGTCTGGAGGAATGCTGAAGTCGCCTGGGTGGGCTCATGATGGCACAATACTGGCATCAGTACTATTTGCCTCATGCCAGGATCCTCACTGGAAAGGAACTTTCGTCTATTCAGTGCCTTTATGGCCCAGCTCTTAGCCTGTGATGAATTCTCTGCAGCAGTTTTTCTGTAGCCAGCTTCCAGTGGCGCCTGCTAGCAGCCCTTTAGGGGCGGCGTGTGATGGCAAATGTACCCCTCCTGCCTTTGTAGTTGGCCTCAGCTAGCCAGCAGTGGACTGTGTCACCCACGCCACTCCCTGCACATACCGAGCTTGTGGTGGCATTGCATGGACAGTGCCTGCTTGTAGCTGCTGCCCGTGACACACGGGCGTGGTCCACTGAATGACCCAAGCACATAATCTTGGGGCCTTTTTTTTTTTAGTTTGCATTCTTTTTATTCATTGAATGCTCTCAGTACCGAACATAGTGTTCCTGAAGTCATGGTTGGTGATCTGGCCATCTGGCATTCAGATGGCACAGGATTCTTGTAACGTGGTACTGAAGGCCAGAGTAGAGCACAGCTCCAGGCCCAGTCGCTGAATCCTGCCTGAGGCCTCCTGCCTCACCTGAGATGTGATCTGACCCAAACCTGAACGCCTTTATGACTCCAGATTTGTAAAAAGAAAGGAATAAATCTGTGGTTTTTTCTTGCTAGTTGGAAGTGATAGGGAGCACTGGACCAGCCGGAGAGCAGAGCCTCAGCTACTGAGCAGCACTCGTGAGATTCTAGGCTGACCTGCCCTCTGCCAACCTCAGAGAAAATCCTTTTCTGATTTCTCTGTCCCTTTGCCTTTGTGGCTGCTGTGGGGGGCTTGCTGTCCTGGCTTTCCTCTCGGCACACTCGGGCAGGGCTTGCGGTGGGCACCCCACCTGCAGGCACTCCGGGGCCTGTGGCTTGACTGTCCTGTGCTCCTCACTTGAGCTCTCCGTGCCTTGTCCTCATCCCCAAAGCAGGGGACTGGACAACAATGGTGGTTTCCCATATGGGCCCTAGACCATTCCGCTCCCATGAAGCCTATGGTGGAGCTGCTGTCAGTACTTCCGACTGGCTAGCGGAAATCCCACCGCCCCACAACAGGCCTCATCACTAGCCACAGCGTGGTTTTTGTCTTTTGTTTAGAATTGTCAGCCAAGCTTGTGCTAATCACATTAGCAATTAGGGTATGGAAGGCTGTTTTAGCAGGAAAATTTCCAGAACATCGCATTTAGCCTGAAAAATGAATAATGGCTCCTTGGGAACCACTGAATGAAATGATTCCTGAGGTCCCTGGAGCGGCCTTCCAGCCCTCCCTTTCAGGGAGGTGTACAAGCTCAGTGCTGATCCTGCCTCTTTGGCAATGAATTTGTAAAATATAGACTCGTTTTGGAAATAAAGTGAGATAGTAGCGTGGATTTGCAGACCTCTTTATACCGTTATGTAATGACAGAATATAATGACAAATCAGATTTCTCATTTTTGAAGACAAATGATCATATGTTCAGCCTAATTCATCATAAGAACAGTGTGTATTCAAATGAGATGTTATTCACACCTAGCAGGTAAAAAATGGTAACTTCTATTAATACCAAGAGCGGGCAAGGATGTGTAAATTAGTAAGACCCCTTCAGAGAGCAGTTTGTCAATACCTGGTGAAGTGGAAGCTACATGTAACCTATAAATGGCCCAGGTACCTCTGGCTGTCCTGAGTACAGAAACCTGTACACCCACAGACACATGTTCAAGAACCCTGACCACAGCTGTTTGGTGGTAACAAGTGGGAAGCATCTTGGGCAGTCATCATTCAAATAGTGGATAAATAACTTTGATTAATTGATCTGTCCATTGCATATTAATTAAAATGAGTCATTAAGTTTGTGATTATATCTTGAAAAGATTTGAAATAAGATCTATGACATTAAGCAATGTACAAATAGTACTATATCCTATCAGTACTGTTTAGCCATGCATATACACGGCTTTGTCTGTGCACAAATATGTGTGCACCCATATGTGGATCTTGGCACATTTATTTATCTGTGTTCCTAGTCTGCATACATGTGAGGGCATGCACATGCCGCCTGATGGCACCCTCCGTGTCTGTCTGTACGCTCTGGGTATTTGTCTGTGCAAATAGGTATATACATGTGGGTATTTCCATTTGGGGTGCAGAGGAGGCACCCAAAATCACGGGAAGGCTCATCTGTGTGATGGAAGAGGGAGAATAATGGGATGAAAGGACTTCAAGGGTGTTTCATGTTTTATACATTTAAACACGCTCAACGCAAGCCCGAAAGTGTTAGTGTTAAATCTGAGTGGTATATGAGGGGCCAGTTTCTTCTCCATATTTTTATGCACGTGTGAGCCATTTCGTGTCTGTGAGAATAAGTGTACCTGGATCAGCTAATGGGGGCCTCCGAGGTGGCTGTTTGCTGAAGTCTGCCTCAAGTGAATGGGAGAGCAATGGGAACTGCTTTTGGCAATGTTAGTGAGAACAACATGCATTTGACCACAGGGCCACTTTTCCTTGTTTTTTTTGTTTTTTGTTTTAATGATGGAATTCTTCATTGCTCCTTAGGTCAGCTGCAACTTGGAACCTCACCTGAGGGGCAATGTGTATGTTCAGTATCAATCGTAAGTATTCTGAACATAAAAGTCCTCACATGTGTCAGAGGAGTGTGGCGGTCGCATTAAAGTCTGGGTGTTTTCCCCATTTGCTGTCACTTTCATATGCATGCCGTTTTAAACAGTGCCAATAGGAAGAGCGAGTTGACAGAAATTTTGAAGGGATTTCAAAAGAATACCTGTGTATTTCATCTGTGTATACTGATATAGCTGGGAATGTGTTACAATGTAGGTTTGTTTTTTTACTTAATTTTATAAAAGATTTTAAAATTTATTTTTACACACAAGTTCTGGGGTATAAGCCAGAGTTGTGGGGGGTGAAAGGATTCACCAGAGACAGAGTGAGGAGAAGAACAGGCGAATCTACTGAAATACACTGCTGAGGAGAGCAGCGGGGAGACAGGAGGGGTCTGCTGTGCCATATGCCATGTGGGTCACTTCCCTGTCCAGGGATCAAACCCATGTCACAGTAGCTGGCAGTAGCTTTAACCCCTGTGCCACTAGGGAGGGCCCTACTTACATAATTTTAATAATTAAAATACAAACTGAAGAGAGGTCATTAGGTCAGAGAATAGAAAAGTGTAACTTGAAAGAGGTAGAAATGGAAGCCCCCAGCAGTTAGTCAGCTTTGCTGAATCTTGCTGTTTGTCTGGGCTGCCCTGCCCCGAGCCATGGCATGTGAGGCCTGGCCGTCCTGGCAGAGGTGGTGGGCGTGGACTCTGACAGTGGGAAACGTGTTTGCATGTTGTAGGGCCCAGCCTTGTGGTGTCAGAAGCTTTGAATCAAGCCATTGCCCACACATCAGCAGGTGTAGGGGGTAATAAAAAAGGTTCCTGAACACATTGTGAGGCCCAGGAGCCTAAAGGCTTCCTGTGGACCAGTGAGGAGGTAGTGCCCAAGCAGCAAACTCAGTGGTCCTACAATAACTAATAAAAGTTAATTGCCGATAGGATGAACCCGCATTTTCAAAAGTTACTGTAAAGTGCATTTTTTATTTTGTGGTTTAAAGGGAAGAAGAATGTCAAGCAGCCTTTTCCCTGTTTAATGGCCGATGGTATGCCGGGCGACAGCTTCAGTGTGAATTCTGCCCCGTGACCCGATGGAAAATGGCAATTTGTGGTAAAATACAACACAATGCTTTCCCCCTGTCCACTGTCATGTGAAGGCAAATTCTTAAGGAAAATGCGCTCTTCAAGGGGGAGGCTTTGGCCTCACGCTGTTGGTGAACAGAGAGATCCTTCTAAAAGGACAGCGCGTTCTAGATCTGGGCAGAACTTGTGGGTCGTTTCATGGATGAGGTGACTGAGGTCATAGTGTGTTGAAGATGGAGTGGGGCCGAGGATTCCCATCTTCCATCCTTGGACTCTCTGTGGCCCTGTAGGAGCCAGGGAGGCCACTGGGAAGCCACTTCTTCCTCACTGAGTTCTCGGGGTATTTTCTCTTCTTTGGCTCCCCTCACTTGAGCTATATCCCCCCCCCATCTTTACTCCTCATAAGTCACCTGTCATCTTTGCCACCTAAATCATGACCCATAACATTCCTGCCTTTCTTGAAATCCATACTTTCTAGCAGTAGGGATGAGTAGCTTCGCATCAGTTGTGGCTGTGTCAGTTACACGTCACTCCCAGAAAGCAGGTGGGTCAGCTGAGCAGCCAGCACTGGGGAAGGCCTCACTGTTCTGTGGCTGCCAGTCTGCCTCAACCACATACTTTCTGGTGCTGGACCCAGGCGCAGAGAGATGAAGCTGTATACTTCCCCTTTTGCTTTACATTCACCTGCTTATGCTTCTTTAAAAAATCTAGCCTATTTTATAAAGTTATTATTTTTCCTTCTAATGCTGAGTTGTAAGCGTTTTTGATATATTCTACAGATAAGTCCCTTATCAAGGATATGATTTGCAAGTATTTTCTCCTTTAATTTTGAGGAGTTCAGTTTATCTCATCTTTCTGTTTTGGTGTCTTATCAGAACCCATTGCTTAGCCCGGTATCACAAGATTTACTTGTGTGTTTCATCCCTTATGTTGAAGACTCTGGCCTGTTTTCTTTATTCTTTGTATGTAGTGCAAGGTATGGAGGTATTTCACTTGTAGCTGTTTTTGCTTGTTTTTGGGATATACTACTTAAAAAAAAAAGTTTGAGAACCCTAAAAGGATCACGAAGTCATTCAAACAGATTCCACCCTTGGCAAGAGTCTTCCATATTAAAAATTCTTGGTAAATTGAAAGCAATAGCCAATATTTACCATCGTCTTCTAAAGTGTAAAGAAAATGCAACATCTTCCACATATAACAGGTTCTCTTTTAAGAGTGGCTCTCCCCCACTGCCAGAACACCCCCAGGGACCCCAGTTTTGACTGGGCGTCGGCACTGATAATCAGAGAGCACGGCCACCAGCGTTGCTACTCTTGGCGTCAAGGTCCACTGGGGCCTGGGGCCTTCTGGGTACCGCAGTTCTCATTCGCGTCTTCCCAGTGCCGTTTCTGAAAGACCACGTTGGAAAGTCAGGGACTCAAGGCATGACATCAGTTTATATTAGCTCCTTTTCAGTCACACCAGAAGGTAGCTCTATCGCCTCTCAGCATCCCTGAGAGCCAGAGGGCCGCCGTCATCTCTCTCCTCACTGTCCTTGCAGGTCTGTTTGAAATACAACAGTGTCCAAGAGGGAAACACTGCAACTTCCTTCACGTGTTCAGAAATCCCAACAACGAGTTCTGGGAAGCGAACAGAGACATTTACCTATCCCCGGACCGGCCGGCGCCCCCCTTCGGCAAGAGCTCAGACAGGGACCGTCGGGAGCGGCCAGGCCACCATGAGGACTACTACGGAAGGCCGCGCCGCAGGCGGAGTGCCAGCCCGGCCCATGCCTACAAGAGGAACGGGGAGGCCGACAAGAGGAGGAGGAGCAGCCACCGGGGGAAGAAGTCGCGCAAACACGGGGCCCGCAGCCGTGAAAGGCATAGCTCCCGCAGTAGGGGCAGGAAACGGGACCGAAGTCGGGCGCGGCGCAGCCAGAGCCGGGACAGCCGCAGCCACAGCCACCGGAGGCCCAGCCGCAGCCGCAGCCGCAGCCGCAGCCGCAGCCGCAGCCGCAGCCGCAGCTCCTCGAGGTCCCGCAGCCGCGGCAGGAGGAGGTCAGGTAGTAGAGACAGAACTAATCACAGCCCCAAATCCAAATAAACCGCATCATTGGCAAGTGCTTGTAGGTATTTATTATGGCTGCTGCATAGTGGCTAGAAGACGGCAGGCTCACATGAGCTAAAGAAGCTGGCAGAGAACCCTACTCAAAATACTTTCTTGATCTGATAATCAGTGTGTTTAGTATAGAAAAGCTAATATGTGTAAATAACATGAAATTTACCTGTAACCCTGCCCCTTAATGATAGCCAGTTAATGCTGGAGTATTGCTGTAGGTTCCTCTTCCCTGTAATCATGTATTTTTTTTTTTACCCAGAGGTCATGTATGGCTGCTTCTGAACTGCTCTTTTCTCCACATAAAACCTTGTGACTCACTAAGCCCTATTCCGTCTGTTAGTTTTTGCATAGTATGGATGGTTCTTCAGCCCTCTCCCGATTGTTGCATTTTTTATTGTAAATTTTACACTATTAAAGAATCCTGTGCTACAACCATCTTGTGGTATATTTCCTTAAATACGTTTCGCACATTTCTGCTCATTTCCTTAGGATAAATCACATTGAGAGGTAAATACTAAGCTATTTCCAAATTGTACTACAGAAGGACTACAAAAATTTTACTTCATCAACAAGAGTTTGCTGCTCTCACACCCAGTTAGCCTTGGCTAACTTGGTAAGTGTTGTTTCAGTGTCTTTTTCTGTCTGTATTGGCTAAGCCAAACACTTTTTTCTGTAGGTAACGGCCATTAAATTTGGTTTTCGTTGGCCAATAACCTATTGGGTTTTTTCTATATACACTAGCTAAACAACTTTCCCTAAAAATTCACTTTCTCCTAGTCCATATCCGGGACCCCTCCTCAGCTGGGGATTTTCCATTAGGGTGTTTGTGTTTTTTATAGTGTGTTGACAAGTTCTTTATATAGAGGTGAAACACTGTCATTTTCAGGAAAATTAGGGTTATTGCTAGACATCTGGTATTATAGCAATTCTGGTTAAAAATTCAGGGCCTTCCCTGGTGGTGCAACAGGTTAAAGTGCAGCACTATGAAGCCACAGCCACTGCAGTTCAAGTTCTATCCCAGGCCAGGGAGCTGACCCACATGGCGCAGCAGACCTCTCCTGTCCCACCTACTGCTACTCTCAGCCATGTGTGTCAGTCCACCTGCCTGTTCTGTTCCCCACTCTGTCTCTGGTGAATCCTCTCACCCCCCCCAACCCCTGCACCTCTGGTCTGTACCCCAGTTCTTATATGTATAAATAAAGCTTTAAAAAAAAAAAAAAGCTTAAGGCAAGATAGTGTCCTTAGATTTTTAGATCATCAAAAAAAAAATGCTCTTGCTTCCTTATGCATTTTTCATTTTCCTAGTAACCTTTCCATTGACATACTGGGCATCTTGAGTTTCAGAGTGTGTGGCATTTGGCAGTTTGAGATTTGGAAGGCCTTAAGGATACACGGAACACAGACTAACAGAAATAAAACAGGAAATTTCAAGATTGGGATTTATCAGTTCTACCCCATTGAGAAAGGTCCAGAATACATTTTACTTTAAAAATTGATTTGTTCTGGACTTTGCTTTACCCTAAAAACGACTGAAATTTCTCTGTAATTATCTATTAGATTCACTAATGCTGGATAATTATAACTAAATTCAGTATCTTCCAACACTTACTAAATACAACCAAGATATACACAAGTAAATGCGCTACTCAAAACTGAATAGCCTTAATAGATCATGGAGGAACAAAAAAGAGAAACACCAGCTTGTTCTCAAGATAATTATTAACGATGGTGCCTTTGCCCTCAATGGGCCATGGTGTGGTGGGAGGGAAGGGCAGGTTTGCAACCATGGGCTGGCCTAGAGCTGAGTGCTGAAGCTCTTCAGGCCCACAATGGTCACCAAACAGGGAGTAGCCTGCAGGCCCCAACCTCCCAACACAGCCATATCCAGCACTGCAGTGCTCCCTGCAAAGGGCTTAAGACCAGGAAAAGGGAACTCCAGACACCAGTGAGGCAGAGTCAGCCTTTATGGATGAGAGCAAGGGAAGCCCTGGGGAGAACTCAGGAAGGGAGAGACCCCCATGTGCCAGGGCTGGAGGTCTGGACAGGTTTTCAGGCTGAACTTTGAGAACAATTAAACTTAAGTGGTTGAGAAAGCAAGGAGTATGGATCCAGCTAACGTCCACTGTCACTGTCACTAACGTGGGCAGCCCTCACTCAGCTCCAGGTCCTGCAGGGCTCCTGACCATCTCCAACCGGAGCATCTCACGGAAGCTGTGTGCCCGTGGCTCCAGGCCAAACAGGTCTGTCTCAGGGTCTGCGACCCCCGTTGCTTCCCATAGCAGCCAACTTGACAAGCTGTGGAAAGGACTCGGGGAGCCGGGCTGGGGCCTTAGCGAAGACAATGCGCCAAGGATCCGGTAGCCGCGTCTGGGCCTTGCACCAGCAGGTTTTAAGCCTCACTGACCAGTCTGTGGGAGCGGACAATTAAACAGCAAAATTCTTGCAAAGTTTTGGTTCTTGAGTACTGTCTTGTCCTTGCCCCGGGAACCTCCTTGCCTCACTAATATTTTTTTTTTCTAGCTAACAACTTGATGGCAGTGGTTTCTTCTCAAATGCCTTAGTGTGAGCAGGCAACACTTCCTGTCTGTGGTTAACAGGTACGCGCCCTCGCTGACACCGAAGCTATGATTTGCTACCCGTCTGGCAGTAGTTGGCACATCAGCCCAGTCCGCCAGCGTGGCACCAGCAGCGTGTGGGCATGGCGGGGGCTCCCGCTGATCTGACCCGCCTCTGAATACCTGCTGAAATCAACAAAGCAGAAAAGCCAATTGCATTAAGGTTTTAAAAGCGGCATTTATTGATTGAAAATAAATGTAGATAAGCTCTCAGTAGCATGGAATCCACATTATTTTTTAATGAGCTTGAAGAAGTACATGAATACTCCCCTTAAATCCGCTGCCATTTATCTTGTGTGTGCTTTTAACAACCACCACAAATGGAGGTGAATGTTCAACTTGTACTGAAAAAAATATGAAAACTTCTTCTTTCAGCAGCTCTCCAGCTTGACAAACTTTTGGAAAGAGAGATTAAAAACACACTATGGTGGTGTATGTTGAACATTTATTACACTCATTGGCGATGTGGTAAGACAGTGCTCACGTGGCCTGAATATTGGTCACAATCACAACAAAGCTTAATCGAGCCCAGCAAATACAAATGAAGGTGTAAACCATGAAGACGTTTACAACGTAGGTGTAAAAAAGTGATCCCCGAACAACTGGATAGCTTTAAAAATATAGAGAGCCCGCTGAAACCTTTGCCTCACTCAGTTCACTTCTAATGGCGGGATCAGTCTCTATTTCTCTAAGACCTTTCTAACCAAGCAGTGTCGTGGACGGAAGCTGCCCTCAAGTGTGTAGCACTTCTAAGTGGAGAGGAGCAGTAGGGGGGCAAAATAAATTTGACTGTACCCACTACCCCAGAAAGAGTATTCGTGCTTTAAACATGGACTTTAACACTTTGTAACATGGTTTTCCCTAAGATGCTGTGATAAAGAATTCCAGAAAAATCAAAATTTCCTCCTTATTTGGGGGGCATCAGAAACAATCCAACAAAGCGATTCAATGATCATGACCACAGAAAAGTTTCTCAGGTGTCCAATATCCCTTGGTCTTAAAAATAATGAGCTCTCTACTCTGAAACAGTTGATCTCTGTTCCTCATCGCAGATTTAGAATGGCTAAAAAAATCATTTTGTGTAGAACAGCATTTTGTGTGACTAAATATTTTAGTCATTTAGCATTCCCTTTGTTTTAAGGTATGCAGTTTCCAGTAATTGTCTTTGGTATGATTTTTTGGTAAGTTTTAACAGTTAAATTTTCATTCATTTGATACATGTGACATGTCAACTCCCTTTATTCCCACATAGGATCAAGTACTACACTAGTCTTTGGTTTCATAAAACCAGGTTTTACATTCGAATTTAATGGTTTCCTTTGCCAAAGACAGTATTTAGTAAGTATGTGTTACCGGGCTGTGCCATTTTCATAGATACATGTAATCAGATTAAGAGAAACAAACCTATCAGCTTTAAGGTATCCAAAAAAGGTATCTTTTTATATCATTCTAATTCAGACTGAAGTCCCTTATCATTTAACTAACCAAAATTCCCTTTAAAAAAAATTTTAGTGTAGGCCTGAATGAAGCAGCTTAGCAAAACAGTAATACTGACAAGACGTCATCTTACACCATTAGCTAACATGGACATGAAGGCAGTGACCATCTACAGTGTGAAATGCCACAGGAAGTCATCAACAAGGGAGGAGTTATGTCAGTCCAATTTCTTCAAGAACACTACGTGGGGTTTCAGCTTCCTGTGGAGGGAAAACGTGAGACTCTGGTAAGCAGACCCTGGGAGGCTTGAGAACATGAGAATCACACAAAGGAAGTGCAAGTTTCAGAGAAGCAAGTGGTGCATTCCACTACTGAGTTGGTGGTTAGTTAGGGTTTGGCGCCCCCAAACATCAGAGACAACAGAAGGGGGTTTTCAGCATGCATTGAAGACCTCACAGAATACCCACCCACGTGCTAGGCACCCGTGCTGTAACACAAAAAGCTGCCTACCTACTGCAGATCTGAATTGTCTCCAGCAAAGTCATCTGTTAAAATGCAAAACCGCCCCCAAATAAAAAGCAAGGGAACACTGTGTACTCCCAATTCTTAATTTTGTTTGCCATGCTTCATTTTGGGGGTTGTGTATCAACGTGTCCTTAAGAATAGTATCTTCCTCCCTGGGCTTTATTCAACTTCCCCAGGACAACCAATAGCCATGCTGGAGGAAATACAAGAATGCTCTGCAGTGAAAGAGCATTTTTGTCCTGTGTAACCACCAATTCTCCTTTTCAAATGTAATGGAAGACAAAGCAGGCATGTTGAGAAAAATGTTTATAATTTTCCAGAGTGGCTGATTGTGTTTATCACACAATAAAACTCTAATTTCCAATTATGGCCCAACAACTTTGTTGTTGAAAGAATTACTGTTAATTTTTAGTATCCAGTAACAAACTTACTTTTGCATCCTAATTGTGGTACAGCACAAAACAAGAAAAAGAAAGATTACATTAAACCGCCAATCCATATAACATTGGATTAATTGTAAGGTACTACATGAAGTAATTTTTAGTAAATTAAACTCTATGGTCTGTGTATTTGGAAAACAAGGATCATAGTACTTACCTTCATATGTTGAGATTGAGATTAGCCTCAGTGCCTGACTTACATAAAAAGTGCTCAAAAATGTTAGCTGTTAAGACAATCGCAGTCTAAGTGAAGGTATTTAGCAGTTAGTACTAGATGCTGCACTACACACCAGCTCTACAGAGGAAGCTCACGGGACGACATTTCAGTTGATTGTATACTAATGAAGCATGGGAAATCAGCTTTGGTGAAAAAAGCTATTTCTAAAGGCAGTCTAATTCATGAAGTATTCTTGTCCCCCTCCCCAGAGCCTCCATCTAATGGGCCTATGGATTGAAATCTATGCATATGGAAGATAAAAAACATTCATCACCACCTCTAGATTACCATCAGTCAAATACAGAATGGAGGAAATTCTGTAGGACAGATGTCTCAGTCAGAAAAGGGCAGGAGGGCATAAAGCAGAACTGTTGAAGAGTAAGGGCCTTAAGGGACATACACTAGATACTAAGTGAGTATTGAGAATCTGTTTCTAATGAACATGATAAAATGTGCTTTTTAGACAAGTAGGGAAAGTGGAACCAGGAATAAGCTATTAGGGATTATTGCTAATTTTTTGAGTGTGGTATACCATCTCCTGTGGATGCATATTCAAGTATTAAAGATAAAAAGGTAGGATGGCTAGAGCTTACACTGCAGTACTGAGGGAAGGGGAGGGAGACCCGTGACCAGGCCCAGGAACAAGCACTCAGCTGACAGCTGTTGCAGCTGTGCTACACAAGCCTGGGGTTTCCGCATTACCCCACCTGCACTGCTGGGAGTTTTCACTGATGAATGTTTTAAGAGTGTCTAATGGAAATGATGCAATACTCCCCAAAATGGCATAAGCCAACCTCATTTATGTTTAGCATTAAACATTAAACACACTGAAATCGTGTCACCCGGATCACAAACATTTATTAAAGGAAAAAGTTTAATCATTTCTATTCAATGTTAAGTAAGTTTTTAATAAGTCGAACCACCTTTATTGTATTTATTAAAGGATACCAACACTGAATTCTGTGCAGTGAACACCCTCAGCTTACCCCTGCCAAATGCCCCCCACTCCATCCCCTGGGGCTGGTCAGATTTCCCGATGTGGCCACTGTCTACCATCTCATATAGCACTTCTTCAAGAGAGTCAGGTTGCTTATCGAATATGCATTATTTAAATATCCTTTCTAAAGGCCTAGCTTCAGAGAGCCATTTACACATTTTATTCCTTTGAGATTTGTACAAACAGTACATTAGATTTTATGAACTGTTTCTAATGTAAAATGTAATCTTCACATATTCCCATTAAAAGTGCAGCTCAAAATTACCCAGAAAAACTACTGCTTAAAGCAAGCCGACAATCATGGACAATGAAAGTAAAATGGTGGTTAGTGACCGAGGGCTGGGGGAGGGTAGTGGACAGCTGTCTTATGGGCAGTCTGAATTCTATACGATGGACAGCTTCCGGAGATGGCTGCACAACAGCCACCAGTAATGTGAATGTACTTAGCACTACTGAATTAGGCACTTAAAAGTGGCCAAGCTGGTGAACTGTTATGTTTTTGTACCATGAGTTTTAAAGATTACCTGGAAAAACTAAAATATAAAACATTATCAACAGGGATGGAAAAGTAAAAAGTCATTCACATGAGACAAAGTACATGCAATAGTTTTATTTTGGACATGCAAGGAAAGCTATTTCAGAATCTACTTATTTAAAGCAAGCAGCTGTATACAGATAACAAAAGAAGCAACATCTTGTTACAGCACGCAGCATCCAAAGCAAACAGGCATGAGACAATGCATATTTATGCAGCGTTAAAACCAGATGAACAACATGGCAGGATAGTGGAAAAAAATGGAAATGAAAGACCAGTGTTTCCCAGTGCTTTCTATGTATGATTCTAAATTGTGCATTTGCTAGGCCATCCTGGTGCTTCAGATGAACACAATACCTGAGAATGGTAAGAATGGGAATAACTGACCTGCATACCCGCCTAGTGTACACTATCATTTCAGGGGCAAACCAAGCTGAGCATCTTTTGAATTTATTGTTTGATAACTTAGGCTTCAAAACTCTCTACATATAAATATTAATTATTTGGCACTTTTCCTTTTATAATATGTTGCATGTTCTACTAAGAGTATACATAAAAATCAATATTAACTTTTTAAATATTAAGATATAAAACTACAGTTAACAATTTAATAAGAATTTAAATGAAGTCTTAATATAAAACAAAAACACTGAAAATAAGTACTTAAATTTTAACTATATATGTAAACCCAGCATTAATGCTTTTAAGTGGGGTACTGCATTGGACACTCTGGTCCGTTTTCTGATCATTCTGAGAGGACCTGACTGTTCTAGATAGCTCAAATGTGACTCCATAAATGTGGCATTACAAAGTACTTAAAACCTGTGCTTTACTTTCAGTACTATCTACTAATACAGATTTTATTTCTTGTATTATTTCCAAATCACATAAATATAGTTTTACTTTTGTCAACATTTTCTGCCCAAAGCACACTGTGTCAGGCACTGCTTCCTTCAGCCTCACATTTTACTGTCATCTTTGGTAAACATCTGAAAGCTTACTAAGTTTTTTCTCATGTAGGATTAATCACAGATCGTTCAAAAATGGTGACATGTATAGGGTTGAAGATAACATATTGCTCTAAACATTCACAGGTCGTATTTTCTCCAGAAGAAATTAAATCAGTTGCAAGCAGGAATAAACTGTATCAAGAACACATACAGAATGAAAATAAAACCAAAGAGCAGGAAAAAAATTACCATCGTATTGGTTCTAAAGGGTACTATTATTACACGAGATAGTCAAGTCACCAAGATGAGGACATTTTCTTTCATAAGCACATCAGCTTTCTATTTCCTCTGTGAAATGCTGCATGCGCGGTGAGTGGTCATTTAGTACACAGGCACATTAAAATATTCATGACGTGGCTACAAAAGAAATGCACATATTCTTACACACAGTATAGATTTAAGAAAGACATAATCAGATTTCTAGAATCTTTAGTGGACAGTAAAGAAAACTGAAACTTAAGTTTTTGTCTCTTTTTATTCTTTGGTGTATGACTGAAAAGTGCCCAGGAGTTCAACTTTGTCTTTTCTGATTTTTACTGTATGTGGTGATAATGATAACTAAAATTAGCTTACAAAGCCCTGATGCAATGTGCTTACTAGTAATACACTGAGAAGATCTTCAGTGTTAAGTCATCTGATCACTACTGATTTAACTGAAAACTCAAGTGCCCTCTCCCTGGTGTTTACATTCATTAGGGTTTTATTATAAATGCAAAGGGGTTCATCCCTTAATGGGAACTATCACACCCTAAGGTGACACATACTCTTTTTAAAGAGACTCTGAAGGAAACTCTTTCCCAAAAGAAGGCAGAAAAGCAGTCACCCAAGGAGGATTTCAAAGGTTTACTTAGCCTGAAAAAAGCCCAGAGATTATGCCTTTAAGGCTCAGGGTTATTTATTACCTTTAAAAAAAAATTCTCAAGATAGATTATAAAGAATTCTCCCAAAAAATTCATTTAATGGCTCCAAAAAGATGTTTCTCACATCAACAAGGTAACCTGAGGTTTTAAACTGATGAGGGGTATCCACAGATGGATTTCTAGGGCCCCCAAGAACCTCCCAAAACTAGGAGTGAAATAACATACAGATTTTCCTGAGAAGAGGGGCCAGGCCCTTTACAGTGTTAAAGGGATTATACCCCACCTGAAGGCTCAGGACTCAAAACAATTTTTAAAAGTTTAAACCTGCTGAATTGAAAGCTTTTGAAATACCCTTATTTTAATATTTATCCACCTTGGCACTTTGAAATGTCAGGCTACAAAGTCATGTAAACTTACATGTAAAATATGTAACAGATCCCTTATATTTATGTGACCACTGAGTACAAAAGTACCAAGAAAAAAGAAAAATTTCAATCCTCAGATAATTTCTAAGCAATGGAAATTGCTTTTTTCCCCAAAAAAAGATTACAGTGAAGGGAAGCAAGTTAAAATGTGAATAATAAATGTCCAAATGCTTTACTTTCTGATGGTAGCTCTTATTTTCATATGGGAATTCATTTCTGCTATCAATGGCATTAATGATTTACAGTATTTAATAAAACATTTTTATCAATGAAGCTATGAAGCTATATTAATATTCTGTGTAAAAAAAAAATGAATTACAAGCCCCAATGATGGATCATTATCAGAGCAAAATTCCCTATGAAAATATCAGCTAAAGAAAAAAAAAAGAGAGAGAGAGAATATCAGCTAAATGAGATAACTGGGACCATCCCTTAGAATTTAATGTAATTAGACTTTTCAGGTAATACTAAAATATAAATAACAAACTTGACAAAATTATAATTATAAACTGAATATATATATATATATATATCCTACTACATTTTGATGCATGTGAGTACTCCAGCACGTATTCTAGTATGCTTTCTTACACCCAATGAAACTCTTGCTGTGACTGATATTCTCTGTTTTCTGGAGAGAGAACAAGAAAAGTTTAAGTCTATCAAAAAAACTTCTATCTCAGTTAATACCAGTTCTTTGAGCCTGACATTCTACCTTTTAACCTTTTAGTTTTCTTAGTCTTCTATCTCACTACATAACCACCATGCAAAGCAGATACACATTAATGCCCAGGCAGCTCTGACCTGGTACTACCTCTGGGAAAGGAAAGGGTGATGGTAAGCAAAACACTTCTTTACACCAATGATCCTTATTGCTGAACTTAAAACAAGAACTAAGCATCTTAAAACTAAGAACTAAGAATGCTACTTGTAGGAGAAAACCCTGTTCCCTGGAC